GTGGACAATGGAAGTAAGTCCTCTGCGCATGAAACAATGAAACGATCTTCCAAGCTTATTCTGCAACTTGCCCCACGAGCTGCATGAGCCTCTCTGTGATGCAATTGCGGACAGGTCAATTCCGAAGTCGCAATCGTGCGAGACCTTTGACCCCCTCGATGTGCTGGTGGGAAAAGAGATAGATTTCCTCGATTGCTATCACCAGACCCCTGGTCTAGGATTCCTCGCTCATTAACGTTCGCGATCTTCTTTGAAGAGACCAACTCTCTCTACAGCGAGAAGGTGCACCGGCTAAGATTTCCCAAATAGTCCAAGAATGGATCAATTGATGATGTATTCCTACGAGGCCGGCTTCGGACAAGAGCTTTGTGTCACGAATAAATGTACAATTCGCTTGTGTTGTCAGGGCAGAACCCGAGTGCGCCACGGGGGCAAGTTCTTTGGGGGACAAAAGTTGACGCGTGGGGGTGAGCTAGTCCACATGCACTTTGTGATGGTCGGGTTGTCGGGGGTCAGAGGTGTGATGACTTTTGCTTTAATAGAAGATGGGCGTTGAACTCTTCACATCGTGCTGACACGCAGCCTCCTGGCACACGCCAAGGGGCACTCTGGGCAGGGGTCCGAATGAGAGTGTCAGCCCACTCCCCGGCTCGTCTTGATATGAAGTGAAGGTTGTTGTCGGGGTCCAGAGGTCAACAAACTGCGAAGTAATTTGTGGCCCATCCACATCCCCTCGACCACATGTAGTTGCCTGGCGGAGTCCGAGTGGAACTCGCCGATCCCCTCTGCACCCACTTGACGCCCACACGACGAGCCAGCCTTTTTTGTTCAAAGAGCTCCGCGAAACGTGCGCTTTCAACGCCAAGTGGGAAACCGATCCGGGGCTGCTGCTGATGATTTTCGTGTGCCTTGCCACACATTGGAGTGTGTGGTGGGGAAATTACCCGCGACGCCCCCAGATCCGTCCCGGGCTTGTCGGATGTAGCCGCATTGCTTCTTCCATCTGTGGAAAAACCGCAGGAAAAAGTGGGGAGCCATGCTGTCCAACCTTGAATTGGCTCTGGAGGTATTAATCGTCGGAAACATAGGGTCTACGCGGCATTGTACAGATAAGGCATAAGGAGAGCAGAGCACAATCCCCACCATAAGCATGGGGGTGGTCGAGGAATGAAGGGGAGGCTAAAACGTAGCTGCTTGACGGGGGCCATTGGGAGATCGGAAATTGCGAGGCCAGAGATTCGAAGTCTAGAGGTAGTCGCAAGCCTCAAACAGGGTTGGAGCTGGCTTCCAGTATGTCCTCAAGCTATCCGCTGAGCTTCAAAGTCACACTGGCCGGTGTGCGTCAACCTCGAAGACCGTCACGTCTTCCTGCTCCACTTTCCGTATCTGGGGGTTATACCCGATCGCATTGCACAACAAATCATGGCCGTTCCGCCGGCCACCTGTCTCGGGGGTGTGTTTCTGCGTATTGGGGTTTATTGTGGGGCATAGAGTTGTTGATACTTCACTGTTCGGGGAAGAGGCGAAGAGGCGAACGTCGGAGCAAGCTCCAACCAAGTGAGCCAACATAAGCCTGGACTCATGTTCAGCTCCCTTGACGAAACAACGTTGTGAGTTGCTCTCTATCTCAGCTCTCTTCAACTGCCGGAATATCCTGCACCCAATTTATGCAGGATAGATCTGCCCAGAAGCCGCAGGTGGATACGGCGAGGAAGGTCATGTTGGGGAGACGAAACTCTGCCCCTCACCGTGCATAGTAAAGTACAGGACGCCAAACTGAGCTGTCGCCGACTCGACTTGCAACATGGGCGAGCAGAAGAGATTTGAAAGGCAACGGTGGCATTGGAGATTGAGGCCAGCACGGGTGATATTGCTGGGGTACCTCCACCTGGGAGGGATTGTGTCCTCAATGGTATCATTATGGAAGACGAAAAAATTTGCTGTTGTTGATTGAGTGGCTGGACAGGGTGTGACTAGTTTGGAGCCGGGTACTTCCAATCCTCTCACTCTCCGGTTTCCGAAGAAGAACGGGACGGCACGGGCGAGATGGGTGACCCTGGGCTGGCGAATAATATGCCTTTGGAGCTTCAATTGGCCGACTGTATGTACCTCAGTACCTTGGGGCTATTTCTCCGCCTTATGGTCTGGGGATTATTAGTTCGGATACGATGGAGGAAGCCACATCCCATTGCAATGCTCGCTGTTTGTGTTCTGGGGTTGGGCCCAAGGTCGGTCCTTCAAGTTGTTATACTTCGTACTTTATCCTGGCCCTGCCTATACCACCCCGGGCTTGAATCTCTGGACCCCTCGGGGCAGGTTCAAACGTAGGTTGGTTTTGCATGGTTTGGGTTAATGCGCTATCATTTTTGCACGAAATCCTCAATGTCGTGGGTGATTCCCGATGAGGTAGATGATCCCGCTCGAATACCCCAGGGTTTTTGTCTGCCGCTGTGATAGATCGTCTGGAATGTCGGGAAGGCACCCGTGCCACTTGAGGAATATAATGTCCAATTAGTATCTGAAAGAGCTTGGTATTCGGCTATTTTGGATTTCCTAGTATCTCTTTGGTTCAATTCCATACCCCGTTTCCTCAAAAGGGACATTTTGACGACCAAATCAAGAATCAATGTACCAAGGTACCCAGTGCACAACTCTTTTTACGGGGCGGGAATGTCCTGGTGCCTGGTTCCTGGCGTTCCTGGCAACAACCAGGCAATCCGATCAGTGGCTCTGGGTAGACAGTAATAATAATCAAATTGATTGTCATAATACATCCACAGATCAAAATCCCGCCCGAGAGTGGACGCGCCCTCAAAGCGCTGCGTGTTTCCTGTTCTCACGATCTGGCCGCCCCTGACAACGACCCTTGCTGATTGTGTGAGCAAAGAAGAAAGAACCCAGCCATTCTCATAATTATCGACGAGTCCGGTGTGCCATCGGAAAGTTTCTCGTCTGGTCATGGGTCTGGGAAAAGTACATGCAGGGTGTCAGTCCGATGTGCCGCTTCCACCGCCCCTTCCCAAGAATCAGTGGGTCTCCTCGCATCATAACTTGGGTGGTTCATCCGCCGACCGCGAAGGTAGGAGCGTGGTGGAAATATCACATTAGTCGGAACCAAGAAAGCTGGCGAGATGGCTCGGCCAGTTTGCTCTTCGCGAAGGTCACCTTGCCATCTTCGCCCTGGCCCGTGGCGTCCCATCGCCCCCTGTCGACGAAAAAGAAGATTGTTCGGGTGCGGATTACCCAGGGCTGGTAGAATATTCTGTCCGCTGGATCCCAATTCTATCAGTTTTGGAATTCCCGAGTGCCCACGGATGGAATCGAAATGTTGCGCATGATGGCTTGTCGGGATGCGTAAAATTCAGTGTCGGAGAAGACCAATACGTTGTGGGCGGCATATGTGACTACATTGATCCCACATGCACGTCGTGGGAGATAATGGTGAGATTATGAACCTCGAGATTTAAAATAAGAATTCCCACGAAACTTGAGCTAGTACCGTCGGATGCGGCTCTCGACATCATAGGCCATCGCACGTGTGATACGGGCTGAGCCAGTGCTTCACTTCTTTCGCCATATATGTGCGTACTCAGTCCTTTCCCTACCCTCATCCTTCTTGTGTGGAAAATGTAGCCGTTTGGGCGAAACACGTCGCAGATCTAGATAGTTGTGGAGAGCCTGCAAAGCAGCAACACAGTGTTTTTGGGGTTTCTCGAGATGTTCTCCTTTTTCTTTTTCTTTTTCTTTTACCCTTGGCACCCTTTTCAAGGAATCGGTTCTACCGGATGGGCGAAATCACAAGTAAAACAAGATCGCACTTCAATTTTCCCTTTCATCACCCGTGCCCCTCCGGCCACGGTGTGACCGCCCGCGTCTATTTTTGGCGATCTCGGCGCGCTGGGCGCACCTCTCCATGCAGCTGACCCGTTGGGTTTTATCCTTCGTCAACGCTCTGCATACCGAGGCATGCCAGTCATGTATTTACCGAGTTGTCAAGTCTCGAATGGACTGATGGAAAAGGGGAAGCCAGCCTCGGTAGAGGAGGGGAATTGGGTAGAGAATGCGAAAGATCAATGCTCGTTTTGTTTCAAAGCAGTGGTTTCATCGTCTCAACTGATGGGCAATTTTGTTCTATTCTCGTCTTTCCATTGGAAACGAATGGGGCAAAGACAGCACTGGATGGGCATTGATGTTGGCCTGAGGGTTCGACAAGCGGCGAAGGAATTATTAGGACTTGTTCCAACCGAGAAATATTACTAGGTGCATTAATGAATTAAAGGAAGGTGAAAGGTAGTTAAAAATGGGAGGAAAGCAAAAGAGGAGGAAAGAAGTAACCGAGAGCACATCTTCTGAATGTCCATTGGTTGACGGCCACACCACATTGAAGCGATCCCATTCAATCCCACCCTCCCTTCTGTCAAATACTGGATCACTCCATCTATTGATCGTTACCCCAATGCACGGTGCACCTGTACTTGGACGATGTCCTTCTTTTTCGGGTGGGAGGCGGACATGGGGAGGGCATGGGCCTTCTTATTATCAGTGTGCTTCGATTTTGGAAGGATCAAGAGACCATGGCACGGATGCTGTCAAGCGAGGGAGCGGTACGCTCTGTTGTAGTGTCCCACCTTCTTGATGTGCTCTTTGACAACCCCTTTCATGTCCTCGAGGTTAGCCACAACCACCCATTTCTTCCCGGACGGATAGTGATGTTGCCTAGGGGATAGATGACGCGAAATGTCGAGAGGGCTTCTTGCAAACGAGTAAAGGGTAAAGGAGAAAGAGGAAATTAAAAGAGAGAGAAGGAAAAAGGAAACTGATTTTTGTTTTTCGCATCTTAAAATAGAGAGAAACAAGGAAATGGGGCTTCAGGGGCGGAGAAGCTAATACAACAGCTCGCCCCTTCCGACTCCAGACTACGATCAATGACGCGGATGCTGGGTCTTTTGTGTGGGCGTTGTGTCCGTCCCTCCAGGAAAGCTCGCCCATCTGCGACCGAGATGGTTGCTGCTTATCTGGACATGTACCGTCCCGAAGATGTTGTGGAGATTGGCTTAGGTAGGGGTACAGGAGGACCTTCCAAGATTGCCCGTGTTGCGGTTAAAATTGGGTACATGTACATAGACACTGGGGCCACTCAGGACTCAGGCCTTCAAGTCATTCAGGAACAGACGGATGGGTTTTGGACGTCCTGCAGGCTGTCAGACCTCATGCGACATTGGAGTCACTTTCGCCCCCGTCCTGAATCTTCTCGACTCTCTTTCCTGACGCCAGACGCCAGACGCCAGGATCGACTCCAAACCCGCCCAACCGCAGAATCCCCGGACACGTACTCACAGCAGAATTCAAAGTAGAAGAGCCCATTTTCCTTGCTAAATAACGACAACTTGTTGTTTTTCTAGCGTTTATTTGGAGTAAATCGGGTCTGGACTAGCGTACCTGGCGCCCTCTTTACCCCTCCAGTCAACGGCATGGCGTTGAGGCTTCCTCTTGACCACCGGGTGTACTTGTATGACGGGCAGGAACAACCGAAACGAGAAAAGAGAAGCCCCAAAAGCAAGACAAGCAGAGCAGATTCTCTTTCGTGCAGTACGGGCCACAGGCATGGCTTGATACGTCTTGGTCGCGTCCTCTTTGAAAAGGTACGGAATCCACGATTGATTCCTCTCAGTTGGCGGTTTATTTTTTATTATTATCATTCTTTCCTTTCTTTGCTTCTTGAAAGAAGCATGGTAAGGGATAGGCTGCACCAGTCAGGCTCCAGCCTAACTGCTGTGTACGGCTTCTCCCGAGTCATGCCTCCTCTTTTCAATTACCGTGATGACAGATGAGACTTGCACGCCATTGTCTCTGAATCACGCTGTCTTGGACAAGGACAGCAACGCGGTTCGGTGCTAGCTGTGGTAAGTCACCCTCACAGGGCGCGGTGGTAGAGGAACGCCACCAGCTTGAACGAAGGTCCCACGCCCAACGATGGCAGAGGCGGAGTGCGTTGCCACCCGTTCTACTGTGGGCCAGTGGTGGATCGGGCGGTGATTGAGAATGGCAGTGAGCTTACTTGTAGGAGGCCAGATTGTTGGAGTCTGTCATGAAGGCCACTGGGCCGGCTCTAGCTTGACCTCATTGGAAAGCGCTTCAGTGGGGTTGTGGCGGCGAAGCGATTTTAGAGGTTGATATTCCTATTCGATGAGCTAGTGGTTATGCTCTGCAGATGAAGGGAGCTTGAGCTCAAGACAGAGCTTGTCTTCTCCCCTATAGTTCACCTATTGATTAGACAGAATGGGTGTTTGGTTCACGCCGAGCCGCAAGGAATCTAGAAAAGCCCAGATGACCTTGGCCTAGAGTCGAGTGAAGGACAATGAGCCTCGGCTGGCTGGCTATTGGACGTGTTGACTCCATCCTCTCGCTCGTCTCAGGGCGATTGAGCACAGCGTGGAAGGAAACAATGTTGTGGGTCAAAATCGCAGGGTAATACTTTGTTCCCTTGCCTCTTCGACAAAGACAGGGAGTCTTGGCACGGTACATGAGGATAGACATGGATCCTTCAGTTGGGCACACACCCCTCGATTCTTGCCCCACCCCACGAAACATCAGTCACTTTTCCATGTTCCCAGGACGACTCCAGGTCTGGCCTAGTCGCGTTGTGTGTGGTGTCCCGAGTTCCCCCGCCCCCCACCCTTCCAAATCCCGGGCCCGAGCACCCCTTCTGCACGACCAGACTGCTACGACAACGGCACCTGGCTCCACTCGCTTCCCCTTGTTCGCTCGACCAGCTTGGTTCTTGCGCCATGCGCAGACTGGGAGATACGAAGTACACATGGCAGGTGGTGTGGCCGGTTTGTCACTTCAATGGTGTACAAGAGTGCTATGACATCCCACCCCCTTCGTCTCCTGAACTTTTTCTTCTTCTCCAAGCCAACTCTATGCCCAACACACCACGACATGACAGTAAATGAGCGACGTTTGCTGCAACTATTTCGGAAACTTGATTCAACGACTTCAATCTAGCTTTCTTTTGTCGAGCGCCTGTATATCACCAACCTCGTCTTGATCCTGTGCCAGGCCTGCTCCTGCTCGTTTCCCAGCGGCAAATTCTACCCGACATTAGGTTTATCGACTCAGCATTGCGGCGAGAGAATCCGCTTGGTCTAGACGCCCCAGTACCATCCGCCCTACGCGGAGATTTGTCACTCATGACGTGGAACGAGCCTCGTCAAAGGCAATGGACCTGTTGAGCGACCACCAACCTCAGAGGGCAAGCCTCCAGGTTGCTCCCCTGAGCATCCAAAAGACAGGCTCGACGGACACAGTTGTCGGAGATGAACAGGGCCTTGCGACATCCTCCAATACTCTCTATTCACAGTCCCGGATGACGCCACCAACGACACCAAACTCGTCGCAAGAGGACCTGACGACCGAACCGACGTGTCCCGTCCCCCGATCTTTCATAACTTTCTCCGCGCCTTCTACCCTTTCTCCCCCAGCTACGCCATAAGTGATTCGAGCGTCACACTCCCTCTGAATGAAGGCGATGTCATTCTTGTGCACTCCATACACACCAACGGTTGGGCGGACGGCACATTGCTTGTCAGCGGCGCGAGAGGATGGCTACCCACGAACTACTGCGAGTCTTACGACCCGGAAGAAATGAGGAACCTTCTCAAGGCTTTGCTGAACTTCTGGGACCTCCTTCGCAGCACCGATGTCAGCGATAACGAGATCTTTGGAAACCAAGAGTTTATGAAAGGCATCATCGCCGGTGTGCGCTATCTTCTTGTATGTTGACGTCTTGGCTGCTCGCCACCTGGCGCGAAACCTGTGGGCCTCGTATGCTAACTGACTGAAATAGGAACGCACTCATTCTCTAACCCGTGAAGCTGCCATTATTCTACGCCACGACGGCCTAAGGAGAGGCCGCAAATCCCTGCTCGCCGAGTTGTCTTCTCTTGTAAAGACGGCAAAGCGGTTACAGGAATGTCAAGGAAGCGTCCACGCCACTCCCGATGATGTGAATAACTTGGTAGACGAGATGATTCTGAAAGCTTTCCGAATCGTCACCAAGGGCGTTAAGTTTCTAGATATATTTGACGAGGATCGACGGATGAGGCTCCCCACAACCTCTATCATGACGACCGTCTTTGAAGAATCACTCATAATACCACCGACACCGCCGGCCGATCAGCTTAGGTTCGAGAACGGAAGCGATGCTGCGCCTGGAGATGATTCCTTCTCGGTGAGCACGAGCACCGATGTCCAGTCCGAAATAACACAACCAAGCCTGTTTCTTGACACCTCGCAAGCGGTGGTCACCAGGCGCCTGTCCTCTCTCCTTTCCCCCTCTAGCACCTCTACTTCATCCCACAGACTATCGCAAGGTAGCTTCCATTCTACAAACCGCCACTCTGCGACGTTGTCGCACCGCCTCTCTCTCTCCGGATTTTCACCCCTCTCTCGGTCCCCCAATCTCGTCTCGGAGCGCCTCAGCAGGACCCACGACACCCTTCTTTCGCAGTTGGGATCGTTTATAGGGCGACTGCACCTTCAATCCGAATCCAAGACAGAGCTCGTCCGCGCGATCAAGGCCACCGCGTCTTCTGGCGGGGAGCTTCTCGCAGTTGTTGACATAATATGTGCGCATGATAGCATCGGTCGGGAAATGCTCGGCGTCGCGCGCAACAACCTTTTTGTCCGTATCCAAGATCTCATCCAAGCTGGCCAAGACCTCATTCAACAGGCAATGGCTGAAGATACCGATATTGTCATGCCCGACCAGACATTGCTGCTTTCCACCGCCGCCACCGGGTGTGTCAAGGCTGCAGGCGAGTGCGTGGAGCGAACTAGTTCGATGATTGCCCGTGTTGGCGATTTCGAGTACCAGTTGCTCGACGGCCAAACTAGCGCAAGTATCGATGTCAGTGTACTTGATCGCATTCCCGAGGAACGTGAGCGTGCACCCTCGGAGCATGCCGCCTCCGTCGCCGATTCTTCAGCACCCTCCCTCGTTGATGCTACCACTTCGGACGCCGAGACGATCGAAGATTCCACCACCGTCTCTGAAGTGGCGCGCCCAGAATCGACAGACAAGGCTCTTCCGCGCCTCAACTTCCTGCCTCTTGACAAGCCTCTTCCCGAAGTGCCAACGGTAACATCGCCGATTGACCAAGAGTTCTTGACACGGCCAGATTTCTCCCCGGATGCATCCCGCCCCTCCACTGCCGACGATGATAATGTGTCTAGCCTCGTCTCGTCCGTCTCTTCTCTTCGACAGAGCCTTCCCCTTCCTAAGCTGGAAACCAGCCTTCCTCCCACACATACCAACAATAACTACGCTTCGGACGAACAACCCGTCGAGATCGAGTTCCAGCCCTTGCCTCGATACGAGAGCATGACCGCCTCGAGCGCGGGAAGCACCAGTACCTACATGAGCCGCGATTCCGAGTCGAGCGCCGTTTCCCGTACCTCGACCCGTGCCACCACGCCTGACCACTCTATCCGGCCGTCTAGCCACACCTCCACGCTGGAGGTTGGTGGTGGCGATGGCTCCCAGCCTGTCGAGGAGGTGGACGAGGTTGAGTCGAGGCTCATGGAAAAGACCTTTGCTCATGAGCTCATGTTCAACAAGGAGGGCCAGGTGACTGGTGGATCGCTCCCTGCTCTGGTTGAGCGCCTGACAACCCACGAGTCGACCCCTGACGCTCTGTTCGTTTCAACCTTTTACCTTACCTTCCGCCTCTTCTGCACACCGCAGGAGCTGGCCCAGTCCCTGATCGACCGCTTCGACTACGTTGGCGAGACCCCCACGTGGCCGGCCCTGTCCGCCTCCGGGTTTACAACGTCTTCAAGGGCTGGCTTGAGTCGCACTGGAGGGACGAGACCGACCGCGATGCTCTCGCCCTCATCGTCCCATTTGCGGACCAAAATCTTGGTTCCATCATTCCTTCTGCCGGCAGGCGCCTCGCTGAGCTGGCGGACCGAGTATCGAGCGAGGGCTCCCTGGTCCCTCGCCTCGTGTCCTCGATGGGCAAGGCTAGCACTTCGGTTACCCAGTACATCCCCACCGACAGCACCCAGCCGGCACCCATCATCTCGCGCAGTCAGCTCAATGCCCTCTCGAGCTGGCGCAGCGGCGGTGCCAGCCCTTCGATACTCGACTTCGACCCTATCGAGCTGGCGCGTCAGCTGACGATCAAGCAAATGAGCATCTTCTGCAACATTATGCCAGAAGAGCTACTTGCCTCGCAGTGGATGAAGAATGGCGGTGTTGACGCGCCCAATGTCAAGTCCATGTCGTCGTTTTCCACCGATGTTTCCAACCTCGTCGCCGAAACCATCCTCCAATACTCGGAGGTGAAGAAGCGAGCGGCCATAATTAAGCAGTGGATCAAGATCGCCCACCAGTGTTACGAGCTGCACAACTATGATGGCTTGATGGCCATCATCTGCAGTCTTAACAGCAGCATCATTAGCCGTCTTCAAAAGACGTGGGACGCCGTCTCTCAGAAGCGCCGTGAAATGCTCCATACCCTACAGACCCTCGTCGAGCCGGCCCAAAACCACAAGCTCCTCCGCGGCCGCCTTCACGATCATGTGCCGCCGTGCCTGCCGTTCCTCGGCATGTATCTCACAGACCTGACCTTTGTTGACATCGGCAACGCGGCCACCAAGCAACTGCACGCCCTGGGTCACGAGGGCGACGAAGAAGCGGGTGGTACCACGGTGATCAACTTCGATAAGCACACCCGCACTGCCAAGATCATTGGCGAGCTGCAGCGATTCCAGATCCCCTACCGTCTCTCCGAGGTGCCCGAGATCCAGGACTGGATGACGACTCAAATTACCAGGGTCCGACAGAGTGACCCAAGCAACGTCCAGGTCACCTATTACCGAAAGAGCCTCCTCCTGGAGCCGCGCGAGCTCGCTTCCCGCGCCAATTCGGACGCGGCTTCTACCCTGGGCAGCACGTCAGCCACGCAGCGGGGTGCTGACCTCTTTGGCTGGATGTCAAGAGGCGACCGCCAGACCAACGCATCATCGGCTCCTACTCAACTTTAAATCTTCACTTGCCAGGCCATGTCCGCACACGGACGCACACGAAGAGACACACACACATTCTTACGCTCCCTTTATCCAATCTCCTTCCACCTTTACCTCTATAACCTTCGATTCACTATGTAACTACGCTACAGGTTTAACTTCCCATGTCCGCATCTTCCATTTGACCCTTGATACCCTATCTTGTTCATCTTGATCTTCTACCCATTTTTATACCTCCCATACCGTATATATATACCTTATACCCTTCATACCTTCTTACATACAATGCCGCTCGTCGCGATGAAGACGATGCTGGACGGTTTTTCTTTCGGGTCGTTCTAGGGGCTTCAAAATGCACATCCTCCGGCAGAGGAGAATATCAATGATGACATCTCTCACGAGATCATTTTTAACGTTATATCCATCGTACTCGCACCTTGTCATGTCTTGTGTGAATGTGGGCGCCAAACCGAGTTCTCGCTCTAGAAATCAGATAAGCATGTGAAAGAATGGGGCGTGACGCCCGTATTGAAACGCCCAACTTCTCAGAATTGAGGTGCGAAGGCCATAGGGAGGATAAAGTGAGGTGAGATTCTGTGACGGTGCCTGACTTTCCAGTTTATCAAGATTGCTCCTGTCGTGAGCTTGACGATGGCGCATGGCCCCGGGCAGCATATGTATCCCCCTTCCCCTCATCAAACCCATGCACCCGCCTAAGAGCAACCTTGTGCAACGAGCAAGATACGATGTAACAATAGTACTGCATCCCTAGGGAAAGGAAGACATGAGAAAGCGAGCAGACTGCCCACGGCCCATCAAAAGGTGATAACTCGACAATCGTGGGGTCTTGTCGCTCAGCTTGCCCATCTGTGACGTTGAATCCAGCTAGCGCCCTGCAGCAAGCGCTGGGACGTAGCCTTAATGGAGCATGACCAAATCAAGGCGCGAAAGAGCAAGGGTACGCTACATGCAATGGATATAAGAGTGGAGAGCGAGAGGGGTTAGCGTGAGGAGCGGCCGAACCGGTGGTCAGGTATTCGTCTACGAGCAGGCTCGGCTTCAGGGTCCTGTGCCTTCGCGTCCGCCATGTGCAGAGATGCTGTATCCCCACGGGGACCATCAAATACTCTTGGCAAGTTACACGATATTACCCCAATGTCGGCGCGATGGACAAGGGGAGGTATGTGTTTTTTTCTCTCATCTTTTTCTTGGAAAGGGAGGGTAGGCTCGGCCCAGTCCCAGGCAGCTGGATCCTGGGAAACATTCTTCGTCATGAGAACATTGAGGAATGTGAAGTTTCTTGGGCCTCGAGAGAGAAGCTAGTTTCTAGGCGTGGGCACGCAACCCCAAGTTCCGTCGGGAGTTGAAGACCTCTACACTATGGATATCTCGTGCGGTTCCGGAACCTTGCGTGAGAAGATTGCTTGATTTTGTTTCATTCAGCGAGGGTTCACAATGTTAGTTCCCGTCGCGTCTCACAGATTTTGCTTTTTTATCGAGAGCGCGTCCTGACCCTTATTTCAGATAAGATGACAGAATATTTTGAGTGGGCCATTGAGTATGAAAGTGTAATGAATACCCATTACCCAGGAGTTATACCTAAAGATGATTCCCCTGACGCGCTGTTTCCCATATCTATCTCATTCCCCATCCCGCTTTTCTCTTTGCGTTCCTCCCGACGCTGGAATGTAGAGATATCTGCCCACTCGGCACGCTTTACGTGCCCATGTTGCTTTACAAACGAGGGATTGGAACCCTCAAAAGGCGACCGGGCAATGCGCGAGGTCCAGGCTTGCCTCCAAAGCATCCAGGTCACGACCGTCTCGAGAGATGATGGAGGGTCGTGAGCTTCAAACTCAATTGGGTTGTGGCTGCCCCTCATGGTTTGGAGAGGGTGGCATCGGCTCATTCCGGGTGGAGCAGAGAGCAGCACCATCAATTGGCGGCGTGTGGGGGAGGGGAGGCCAATAGGTCCGCCATTGCAGGTGCGGAGAAAGCACGTGCGGACTGAAAAAGGGATTGGAGATGCGCGAGGAGAAACGTTACATGCGATAAACAACCAAGTGGCGGTACCTCATCCGACCGTTCTATTGGCGAAGAGGACGCAAGTCACGGCGCCGATTATTCGAGGGGGTAGGGCCTTTTGAATCTATCTCACGACACCTGCTATCCCTTCACACCAAGGGGCTTCGTCTTGTTCATCCCTTTGACGCGTCAAAAGATATGGCAAGACGACGAAGGAAAAAAAAAAAAAAAAAATGAGCTGGTCCGGTGTTGATTTCATGGCCGCCGCTGTTTCAAGATTGAAATTTTGGCATCCCTCGCGGCAGTCTTCTGTATGACAGGGAATAACATGAATGTATGGCAATTAAAGCTCTTGCTCCGGATCGGGCAATTTCTCCTCGGTCGTGGTATTGTGGTGGGCCGGCACTCGTCTTCCTCGCATGTGTCTGGCCAACCAGAACAGGTCGCATTCGGTCCGTTACATCCTCCTCAGGATCACTACGTTCCCGCCACAATATACTCCGGGTGCTGCGCCAATGCTGATTGCCGGTCGAGATTGCTTTCTGCCATGGACATGTATCCTCGAGCATGCATCTGCAGCCCTTTCTATTTTCCCATGCGCTCTCATTTGAACCTTCAACGCGAGACCCAGGGATACGCAAAGGTCGTCGAGGCGAGACCGCTGGGCGAGAGATACATCAAGAACACGGCTTGAATGGGAATCCCCTATGACTTCTCATCATTTGTTGATGTTGTGCTGCTCGTAGTTTTCAACTAGTTTTGCCCCCTCAGCCTTCTCTCAAGAGGTACCTCGTTCACTTGGGGCCTTCCCTAGAGCCTTCAATTGCTCCTCGCTCAATAATTTGATTGTGCTACAGTGCGTTTCCGCCCAGGCCTTGAGCTTCGCACCTTCTCCCTTCCAGGTGCCGGATCTTGAATCTTCACGTGGGCTCTTTCTCCTTTTGCAAGATCCATGGCATCCTATGGTAGCAGAAGTCGCAATGCAGGAGGAGCTACCGGCCTCCTGGCCTCCTCGAACTCTACGTAACGAAAGATTATCAATTCTACTCCAATTGATGTCTATAATACCCGATTGAGCAAGCTGGTCTCCATTCAACGCTCAATTACCAAAGCCCAAGCTGACTCTGATGGGGCCCTGCGATCTACCCCCTCCCCCACCCTCCAACTCCCCCTTATCGAGCCCCAAGCAACGTCCCACCTACCCTTCGCCGCGACCATGGTAAAGTCGCATCGCGTGTGTGGTGGGTGATGTGTGATGTACCCGTAACGCGACCAGCTTCAGTCGCTATCTTTAGAGATAGAGGAAAACTGCACGCTAGAGCTGGATATCGTAAAGGGAGCATCCATCATGGCGTGTCCATGCCATCCCATTCAAGAACACGACAAGAGGATTGATGGCCGGGCCCAAGCCTCTGCGTATTTCACCGCGGGATGTCGGCACCGTATACTGTATCAATTGGGGTAATGAGTTGTGATCGCCGCTCTTGAATGTACTTCGTACCCAGGCATTTGTCTCACTGTTACCTTCCGACATCTGCAGGCGCATTTGGGCGACGGGTAGTTGCGACCTCATGTGCCACCATCATTCTTACTCTTTCGGCCGCTCGTTTAACATGGTGTCGAAAGAGCTCCGTCCTGTGGGTTTTTTATCATCCTCCATTTGTACAAGTAAGCGGTAGCTTCCCACGAAGAGCTCCTACTTCTTCCTCTTCTTGTCAAAAGTGCCTTCCCTGGTATCTTTGGAAGCCTCCACTTCTTCTCCTCTACCTTTGGCTTGTATTCCAAGGCCCTTCTTTATGGTCTCCAATCTTTTCTATTTTAATATCCTCCCTCCCTGCACTCCCCACCCCCTTTTAGCCGACGTCCCTTGTCTTTAACGAGCGAAGGTTGCGCTCCAACACTATCTCGAACCTTATCAAGGCTTCGGTGCCTCATCAATTCCCTCCTCGGTACGCCTTGTGCTTCTGGTTTCATTCCGCGACCCCAACACGTAGATTTACTACAAGAAGGGTCAAACCCCCTTAGCCCTGACTCATACTGACGTGAATAGTAGCAACGGCCAAAAAAAGAGGTCTCGGAGTCTTGGTCGCAGCGAACAATTAACACTCGAACGATTCTTACACGCCATCCATAATGGCTGACGAAAAACGATCACCGTCTCCTTCTCATCAGGAGGATGGACCTATCGAGCGACCTCCAGGATGGAAATACAAGGGCTTCAGGGTTCTCGGCAAGGAGCATTGGTATGCATCGCCGAGCGTCCAGCTCTTCTTGGTTTCCATGGTTTGCTTCCTCTGCCCTGGCATGTTCAACGCCCTGAGCGGCATGGGTGGTATGGGCTTGAAGGACTTGCGAGCTAGCGCCAAGGCTAGCACCGCTCTTTACAGCACATTCGCAGTCGTTGCGTTCTTTGCAGGCACGATTGCTAACCGCCTGGGTCTTCGCCTTACCCTGACCATTGGAGGAATCGGTTACTGTGTTTACATCTCGTCGTTTCTCTGCTATGCCCATACAAGCAACAATGGCTTTGTGATCTTTTCTGGTGCCCTTCTTGGTGTTTGCGCCGGAATGCTCTGGACTGCCCAAGGCGCCATCATGATGGCTTACCCATCGGAAGATCGCAAGGGTCGTTACATCTCGGCGTTTTGGATGATTTTCAACTTTGGTGCCGTGATCGGTTCTCTGGTGAGTGCACAATCCAGTAGCGAATTTGCTTTGATGGGCGAATGAGCACACCTGACGCTAGGCACGCCTCGCTGACAACTTAAATAGATTCCTCTTGCACAGAACGTTGGGAACAAGGATGATAATGTCACAGATGGCACATACGCCGGTTTTATCGTCTTGACCTTCCTCGGCGCTATCCTCTCGATGGGATTGACCAACGCTGGCAACATTGTTCGCCGCGACGGATCAAAGGTGATTGTCATGAAGAACCCGTCATGGACGAGCGAGTTCCTTGGGCTCTGGGAGACTGTCGTGAGCGACCCTTGGGTCATTCTCCTTTTCCCTCTCTTCTTCAGCTCCAACACCTTTTACACGTATCAACTCAACATCATGAATGGCGCATACTTCACCACCCGAACTCGCGCGCTGAATAACGTGCTTTACTGGACTGCCCAAATTGTCGGCGCCCTTGTGTGGGGTTTCTGCTTGACTTTAGCAAGGTCCGTCGATCCACTCGCGCCAGGATTGCCTTTGCCGTTACCGTTGCTTTGACTTTTGGCATTTGGGGAGGCGGCTGGGCCTGGCAGAAGGATAGGCCCGCCCGCGGAGAGACCGAAGGGACCGAAATCGACTGGGAAGATGGTAGCAAATTCCTCGCACCTATGTTTCTCTACTTCTTCTACGGACTGTATGATGCCGTTTACCAAACAACCATCTACTGGTATGTCTGCCCTTTGCACCCACTCCCCCAATGACAACTCGAAAATCTTACATTTTATAGGTACATGGGATCTCTTTCGAACTCGGGCCGCAGGTCCGCAAACTACGCTGGCCTTTACAAGGGACTGCAGAGTGCCGCCGCTGCTATCTGGTGGGACATGGATAACCGCGGAACTGCGTACAACACCATCTTCGCTGCTACTGTAAGAGGCCTTGAGTTATTCTACCGCGGAAGCGGCTTCTGCATATTGGCATGAGAACTAACAGCTTAAATCATCAAATAGTGGGGAACCTTGGCCGGCGCTCTCGTGTTTGCCTTCCCAGTCATCTGGCTCCGAATCAAGGACACGGTACCGATTGAGGACGATCTCAAGAATACAGATGCGACTTTGAAGGATGCCGTTGCCTCAGGTGCGGCACAAGACCGAGAGGCATGAATTAGAAAACAATAATCAGGGACGTTCGTGGTGCCTGGGGGAGGTTGGCCTGATAATATCAGAGATATTGAAGAAGTTCAGGGACGAGTTCTTTGTTTCCCATTGAGATACCTTAATAACAAATCAAAAAATTATTTCTACCTTCATTCTCCCTTGACTTGTCGGCAGATACGTTTGATGTCTACATGTATGATGTGGAATCCCCGTCCTAGCCATGGTACGCCGTTGATGCGCTTCGATTGCCGGGACTCGCCTCGGGCTTCAAATGCGGAACTGGGTGTGGCTTGATGTTGAGAAAGGACTGGCTGGAGAGCTCTTTCAACGGAAGGATGCCGTGCTGCTCGGTATAAGAGACTGTCCGGGACACGGCAGAGGTGAAACTAGCGTGGCAGACCGGAGAATTGAGCGGAGGAAACGTGGTGGGGTTGGAATGCATTTGTTCACTGCAGAGGGTGTTTTAAGGGAGAAAATCAGCCATTTCGTCATAGCATCCAGATGCTCCTACATATGCTATGTACATTCGAATTCTAAGACCTCCTCCGGGGTACGCATGAAAAGGTCCGAATCCTCCTTTTGCCATCGCAGTTTGCGCACGCTGCTTGGGGAATAACCTCTCAACGCCAGGATGGAGAAAGAAAAACAGAGACCAAAAGTGTGAAGGGAAGAAGACACACATCAATGATGAGAAAACGAAGTAAACAAAGAGCCTGGTCCGCGCCTAACGTCATTTTTGAACAAGGATATCGCGGGTGGGTGCCAAAATTACCAGCCATTGGGCAGAAGAACAAGACATCCAAAGATAGGAAAAGACCACCCCCGCCCCGCTTGCAAAAGGGGTGAGGGGGACCCTTTCCCAAGTTCCAGAAGAAGAAATAGAAGAATTGTTACTATTCGAGAAGAGGGAGGAGGGGAGGGCGAAATTTTGGTTGACAAGAGTGGTCCTTGGGGGACCGGTGCACTGTAGATCCCGCACCTTGCCCCATTCAGGAGAAGAAGAAGTCATTAGAACAGAAACCTAAATCTTTGCCTCGCCTTCCCTTACTCGCCAAGGGTGACATAAATGGTACCCTTGGAGTAACCAGTGCAACCAACACCATCGAGGTCCTCCATACCGGCCCTGTAGACTTCGACGCTGCTGGCGAGGTTGGACTTGATGAGGTTGGAGCAAGTGCCCTTGCCGGGGCGTCGATCTTCATGCTGATGTAGTCGGTCATGCCGAAGTTCTCGGCAACGATGATGCTGACGTCGGAACCGCTCTGGTTGTCGTTCTTGGCGCTACCCGCGTCGAACTCGAGCCAGGTGCCAGCGAGCTGGCCGATGGAGGTCCTGGGGACGGAGTTGACACCACAGGCAACGCCGCCCTGGGAGTTGGTGTCGAAGGCGAGGCAGAGGGACTGGCCAGAGGCGACGTTGAAGTCGAGGGCGGAGAACCAGAAGCCGTCGATATCACCCTTGGGGCCGATCTTGTTGAAGGCGGAGCAGGCGTAGTTGGTTTCACGCCCGAGACCGGTGAACTTGGCGGTGTAGTCGTAGAGGTCGATAGTACCGCAGTCAACCTGCATGATGTTGCAGCCCCAGTTGTCGGCGGTGCCAGTGTTTCCGGCATAGGCGATATCGTAAGCGGTGGCGCGCTTGGAGCTGGCGCTTCCGGAGCAGAAGGCCTTCTTGCCGACCGAGCCGGAGCTGGAGCCGGAGCTGGCGCTGGGGGCAGCGGGAGCGGGAGCGGCGGGGGTAGAGGCGGCAGCAGGGGCGGTGCTGGGCTCGGGGGTGGGCTCGGCAGCGCTGGAGACAGGCTTGACGTTGATGACAAACTTGTTACCGCGGGCCTCGATGCTCTTCTCGTGGAAGCGGGCGTGGCGGTGGGCCGCGGGCGAAGGGTGGGCGGCGACGCTGCCGATGGCGGCAGCGGCCAAAAGGAGAGCCGAAGCGAACTGCATTTTGTAGCTTGTTTGGCGGTTGTTGTTGAACAACTTTTGTGATAAGCGTTTATATATAGAAAGAGCGTCGAGGGACTAGGAGGTTCGTGGACGAGAGCTCGTTGTCTGCGATGGGCATGAAGCGGCTTGCAAAAGGATCGTGTGCTGACAGTCGAGTGTTCTGTTTCGTTTCCTTCCGAGCGAGTGATCGTCAACGTCACTATTCTGTAAAAGATAAGGAGTGTAGGCTGGTGTTTGCTGAAGAGCTGACGTGCGTAGTTGTTGCAAAAAGAATGACAGCGAGGAAGAAATGAGTGCTTCTCGCGGATGAATGACAACGCAGTTGTGCTTTTCGTGAGGCCGGTGAGGGAGGAAAGGTCAAGGGGGAGAATGAGGGCGGGCTCCCTAGGAGGTAAATAAGGCAAGCATGAAGGCCAAGGGGGCGACCACCACCAAAGGAAATTTGACCCAAGATTTGAGGTACCTTTGATAAGATTTGAGGGCGCAGAGTGACTTCTGGCTCGGGCCAGTTCACTTCACAGGCAAGCAGGGGGTGGGCGGGAGATAGACTCGGGCACGGGCAATCACCAAACAAAGGTACAAAGCAGGCACAGTATGCAAGGTAATTAACGCTTTGCAACCTGGTACCTGAGCGGACCCCCTTCTGCCTTGGACGGGCTAAGCCATGTTGGGAAAGGAACCGGGACACTGGGCACCAGGAAGTATCGCGCCCAGGGAAAGGTCCCGAGGTGGATGTCTCTGCGCAAAACAAGAGGGGGATGTACCTAGTCTCACTTCCAGATACCTCCACCGGCCAGCCGTGACTGGCGATGAGGAGGGTAATTAACAAACGAAATGAGGGATTCCTGGCCACATACTTCCATCATCTGTTTCGATGGTTGATGGCTGGGCGACGCAGGCCACGACTCACACCACACCATCCTTGTTACTGCGACAGGGGAGGAGAGAAAAAAGAAGAAAGAAAAAAAGAAAAAGAGGGAAGAAAAAAGAGGTGAAGCGCCAGCAAGGAAGTGAGTTGTTGCGCGGATTTTCAGACATGCCCTCAGCGAATCGAGGTTTTTAGCGCTATCCACACCGCATGTCGTTCGTCAGCGCCATCTGGATTGATTGCGCTGGCTCTGGAGGCTCGGCGAGGAGACTCGTAATCAATTCGTTCTCAGCAGTGAAAAATGCCCCAGTAACATGTTCTAAAGTGGTTGAGAAAAGAGGGGGAACCCATTTTCTCGGCAGTGGCCCCAGCCTCCACTCCTACGGTTTTTTCAGTCGAGGTTTCGTTTCTTGCCCTCAATATTGCTTCGCGTCAACCTTTCGGTGTTTCCTCGCCTGCATCCTCTCTTTGGTGGACCCCCAGTAAAACGAAACCTGCTCAGCCGATTCTTTCCGAGTCTCCACGAAATCAAGACTACTCACTACTAGCTGTGGAGCAGGGGAGAAGAGGGGAAAAGGATGTGCTTATTGAATCAGACCTCGATGAGGCCACTGAGAGAGCGGCTCTGCCGACGAAAGTGGTGGGCAAAAAAGGACGGGTGCAAAATGAACAGGATAGGCGAGCACGCACAAAAGCCCATTCATACACGGAGGAGGTTTAAGTTCCTTGCTCTCAGGAGCTCGGTAATGTCTGCAGCTCTAAAGATAAGTCGGCAGAAATCCAATCAAGACGACCCAAGGGACGCAACCGATGGGTTTTGTGTGATGCAGTCGAGTGTGGATGCAATTTATCCACAGTGGCTTTTGCTCTGTACGCAGTCCCTGCTGATCAACTGTCAGATTAGCCGGCGGTGGGAGAGGGGGCGCTCAAAGTGTTTTCTCACTCGTCAATCTCACGGCTGTTCCTGGATTGATTCCCACTCCTTGATTGCGAGTTATTTCCAGAGGGAGGCAATATCCTTTCTTGGGTGACATTCCTTGTTGGCGTCCTAGGCAGAACAAAGAGGCGATTGTTATCGAGCGCTAATTTGATTGGCTCATGTACAATAAGCAATGAGCTAAAATGGCCTTCAAACTTGCCCTCTCCAGTAACCATTAGCGCTGGCAGGCCCGGCCGAGTTTTTGTCACGTGATACACACGAAAAGGCCGTGCCCGGTCCAAGTTGAGTGCAGTCCTTATGACTGATGCCCGCAGTGTGCCTATGAATGGAATGGATCGATGGATTGTGGCTTGGATAATACAGGTAGATCCTTCAAGTCTGACTGCGATCATATTGTCTGTTCTATGCAGAGCATTCTAATTTTGGGCTCGCTCCTGATGATGATGATCATGATAATCATAGACCATACTGTTCCACACATCGCCAGTGATCTTTTAGTTGGAGTGTCAAAATGAGAGTCGTGCCCTCTGTGGTCGCACGAATTCCCACTTCGGGCCTTGTCCTAATCGGACAGCACTAGCGTAACCCTTCAGTGCCTTTTTTTTTTCTTCCTGTGTTCTTTCTCCTTTCTTGGGTTCTCTGCCCGGCGAACTATCGGTTTTCTTGTGGGCTCTCCTACGCTAACCGCTCTATTACTTGAGCTAGGCGATGGTGAGACCATAGCGCCCATGCTTGCCGCCTCATCAACCACTTTGACAGAGGGTCCTCGCTGCCAGGGTGGATTTTGTGCCTTAAACCGGCGATTGATCCTGGGTCTCGTAGTGATCCACGCTTTTCGACAATCCCTGATTGATGAACTGATTGGCCGAAGCGCAGTTTCGCACAATCCATCCCCAGAATAATTCCTCTCTTGAGTCTTCGTTTTGGAATTCGAGCATTCCTGACGTGCCATCGTGAAGATCCACATCTCTCCCCAGGGCGGGAAGGGAGGTGCAACTACCGCTTTTGGACCCCCACGCGCGTCCTCTCCGTGCTTCCGTGAAGATCCTGACCATTCGCTCCAATTGCTTCTTTGCACTCTCTTTTTGAAAATAGGTCGAGACTACGTGCCCCTCAAGTTGACTTCTTGGCGGAGGGTGGGAAAAAAAAAAAGAAGAAAACTCTTCCCGAGGGCAGCGCGTGGATCCCTTCGCGAGCTAGTGAAGCCGATGATGGATCGGCTCTCACGACATGCAGAGGCTTGCAGCGCGCCCATGTGGGGAATCCTCTTCAAACACACCTAACTGGCAGGCGACTTGCATTTTGATTCAGAGCGCATGCCCATCCAGTAGTGGTAATCTTGACGCCTTCGGGATTTTGTCCTGCTCGCACGAGGCCTGCCCCCAGAGTCGTGCGGGCTTGAAAAAAATGCGTCAGTGTGCTTCATCCCAAAGTGCCATTACCCTCTTTTCCGACCTCGGGTCTGACACCATGGTCTAGACCTCGGGGGTTTTTTTCCCCAAGGGCGAAAGGAGGGCCACTTGCACGACTTGAACGATCCGCAACTCTTAGATCTGAGCCATGTTTTGTGCTGTGTTCGGAGGAAAAAGGTGGGCTGGAACCTTTTCGCAGACGCCAAAAGAGGGGATGAGACAGGGTTTTTCTCCGTCACTCGCCCAACCGCCGTCACTCCCAACATGTAGGGTCTAGTGCTCAAGCAGCGCAAATCCTCCCTCTTCTTGACGTGGCCTTGTCGTAGTGTGTCCTAAACCAAGTGTCGTCCCCTCGTCCCCTCCCGGCGCCGCGGCGAGGAGAGGACATACCGGCGCTAAACATGCTGGGTGTTGATGTTGAGCGGTCGATAGTGGGGCAGCCCGAGATGTCGACCCTCGGAAATGCTAGCCAGGCCCTGCGGGTGGAGAAAACACCGCCACTCTGGATGGGGCAGAGGATACGCGACCCAGTCTTTTCATCGGTCACGTCCTCTTTCTTCCAGACGATTGGGCGGGAGAGCGGTCCTCGTTCGGAGGAGGATGCGGACGTGCCGATTTTTCTCCTTGCCTCGCGGGGATGGCTATCGTTGTGCGGCAATGGCATCCATTGGTGGTGGAATCGGTAATCCCCCTTTCTCCGGGACGGCAGGCACACACGCCATCGCCCTCGGGACACCGGAGCTTTCGCTGGGATTCTCGAGGCACTGCCGAATGGGGGAGCAGGGACCGAAACCCACCCTAACCTTGGTCGGCGGGTGGACGGGCTGACGTATCGGGGTTACGCTATCTCGTACCCTTTGCTTTTCATCAGAGTGGGTATTCCGAGACTCATGTCTCTGGGATTGCGTAGGTGTACTCGGAATACAGTGCCAGAACGAGATCCCGATATGTACCCTTTGCTGTCCCACCCTCTGAGAGCTTCTGAGTCCGGAATGGAGCGCTGACTGTCCCCCCTTGAGGTGGAAGAGGCCAGAGGAGCATTGGAACCCTGGATACGAAGAGGGGGCGCAAACGTGAAGGGTCGACCAAGTGATGTGCCCCAGGGGCGCGAGTGTCTCGTATACGTCCTTGATCTCCAGCCACGGAGCTGTTGTCGAGGTGAGCACTTGACCCGAGGAGAGGCCGTGGAGGAAAAGGCCATCAGAGACACCCATCCCTCGGGAAACGAAGCATCTACCCAAAGGGCTGGTCCGATAGCGACACCAGGATTGTCCAACCGCTCACCGGGCTCGTACTCCATGGACATTTCCAGCCTGAGGTGCTCTATGAGGTCAAGGCATGTGATGGCGAAGGTATCAGCAAAAGGTCTGAAACTAACCCTCCGTATCATTCAACAAAAAGTCTATTTTATTGTAGCCTAGAATGAAAGCCAAACAGGAGAGGGGAATGCCCCGCCCTCGAAAAAAAAAAAAAAGAAAGCACGCCAATACCTAGTGTCCATAATGTATCCTCTTCTATTCGCCGCTCAGGGCCCGTAGGCTCATTTCTTGGGCATACCGGCGAGGTACGCTTCGTAGCCAATGTCGAGGAGACGCGCAGCCTTGCCGTGGACCTCGGTTTCCATCTTCTTCATGTATGCGCTCATCTTCTCCTGGTATTCAGGGTAGTGGGCGCCGAGTATGCGGATGGCGAGCAGTGCGGCGTTTGTAGAGTTGTTGATGCCGACGGTTGCGACGGGAATGCCACGCTAAGAGGATGCGTTAGCAAAATTGCAATGCTTGGATTCCACGCACACCGTAAAAGTAGATATCAAATAGCAGGTGGGAGGGGGATTTATTGTGGTTGGAACTTACGGGCATTTGAACGATGCTGTAGAGGCTGTCCTGGCCATCGAGATGGGTGGCCTTGACCGGGACGCCAATCACAGGGAGGAGTGTGGGAGGCTGCCATGCCGGGAAGATGAGCGGCGCCTCCGGCCGCGGCGATGATCACCTTGATGCCCCTCGCAGCAGCCGCCTCAGCGACATCCGTCATGAGATTGGGCGTGCGGTGCGCAGACGTGATGCGCACTTCGCTGGGAACGCCAAAGTCCTTGAGAATGTCCAGGCCAGCCTTGAGGACGGGCAGATCCGAGTCGGAGCCCATGGTGACGAGCACCTGGGCCGTCTTGGAGACCACGACGGCAGGAGGCGCCGGGGTGGCCGCACCACCCTGTTGAGGGCGGAGCTGCTCGCTAGCAGCGGCGATGCGCTCATCGCGGATCGTGTTCGCGAGGGCCACGAACGCGGCGGCCTTCTTCTCCAGCTCCTCGATCGATCCCGTGCCGGTCAGCGTGATGTGGCCAATCTTGCGACTGGGCTTGGAGTCCTTGCCGTAGAGGTGGAGGTGGACGTCCATGTCGTCGTCGTAGGTGGATTCGCAGAGGTCGACGAGGCGTTGGTAATCCTGGGGCTGGGCGCCGCCGAGGATATTGACCATGATGGCGGAGGGTGCGCGGGGGTGAGCTTCAGGTCTTGGGGGATGATGTCGAGGATGGCGTAGAGCTGAGCCTTGTATTGGGACATTTGGGGGACGGCCTCGATGGTGTAGTGGCCCGAGTTATGCGGTCTGGGGGCGACTTCGTTCACGAGAAGGGTGCCTGTTCAAAAAAGATGAAGTCATTGGTTAGCGAAGAGCACTTACTTGGCTTTGTCGAGCTCCGGGGCCGTGGGGAGGGGAAACAAAAGAGACGCAAGTTAAACAAGGCACCACATACCATCCGCGGTCAGGAACATCTCGACGGCGAAGACACCCCGTCCCCAGAGAGTGCCGATAACCTTGGAGGCCAGCTCCTGTGCCTGGTGGCAGATCTTTTGCGGGACACCTCGCGGGGGCATGTATACCGTCGAGCAGATGCTGTCCTGGTGGACGGTCTCGACGGCGGGGTAAGGGTAGGTCCTGGAGGCACCCTTGTCCTCGGTCCTGATGACCATGACGGCGAGCTCCTTGACGAATTTGACCATCTTCTCGGCGTAGAGCCCGTCCTTTCCAAGGGCGTCGATGGCGTCGTCAAAGTCCTCTTCGCTGTCCACCACGACATTTCCTCGCCCGTCGTAGCTATTGTTCCTCGACTTGACGATGAAGGGATAGCCGAAGCGCTTTCCAGCCTGCGCCAACGCCTTTTGGATATCGCCCGCGTCGAGCTTGATCTGCTGGGCAACGGGGATCCCGGCCTTCTCGAAGTGGGCCTTTGCTCGAACTTGTCCCGGATGGTCTCGAGGGACATGGGCGCCGGGTGGACGGGGACCTTTTTCGTCGACGTCTTGCCCGCGTCGTCGGTGACGGAGACGCCCGTCATGTCGATCTCGGCGAGGGTGAGGGCGTCCACGTGCTCGATCTCGACGGAGAGGTAGTCGACGTGGCGGGCGAGCTCCTTGATCTTGTTGGCGTCTTTGAAGGAGCCGGTGACGTGGCGGGAGGAGGTGTTGATCTGCTTCGCGGGGAATCGGCGGCGTCGAGAATGGCGACTTCGATGCCGAGGGTCCGGCGGCCTCGCATAGCATGCGGCCGAGCTGGCCGCCGCCTAGGAGGCCGATGACGGGCTTGGGGGCCATGGTGGTGGTGGTGGGGCGGCGGAAAGGGGAGGGGTTTCGTGAAATGGGGAGGGATCGCGGGGGCGGCGAAGGGCGTCGTTGGTTGGAGTCGAGGTCTTTGAGAGACACCAATTAGGTCATATAAGGGGGCAAGCAAAGTCTTGAAGCTTGATGTGCGAGAGAGAATTGATCTCTACCTCGAATGCGATAGCACGGATCCGTCCGACGGTGAAGCGCAGATTGTCATGGGAATTCCATATGACACATCTTTAATGTCGCTCCCCGCGAGCGCTAAGAAAAAAATCACTGGAATAAAACCCCGCGATCGGCAGAATACAATTGACCATCCAAAATAGGACAAGGCGGTGTGGTCCTGTTTTCGGTAGGCGGTGAAAGCACAAGCTACCCAAAATGCCTGACACAGCCAATCCACGGCTCAATTCATCCAATTGATCCACGGATGCCTCATTGGTGTAAGTGCCTCTTTCCCTTTGTTATTAGCAGGCCGAGTTAGTGTTGGTCATGGTGACGGCGACAGCGACGGTAGCAGTGACGATGGATCTGGGTCAATCGAACAAATTAATTCGACATTGAACTCATTCAATTTTTATGTTCGATCGCGCGCTATACGAAATTAAACACCTCCCAATCCGGATGCCCGATCCCCCTCCCCCTCGCCTCCTTCATGGTTCTCACTGCCACGTGAAAGCCCTCAGTTGGTGTTTCTCTGGCGCTTGTCCCTTGTTAGGAGTCGCAGAGTCGTAGATCAACCAGGTTTCCCTGGTTTCCCGTGCCGCCACCACGATGACGCTCAAACTCTTCCAAGTTTGAATGCCTCTGAGGCCAGCACCTCCTTCTTCCTCCTTTAAGAATTCACAACGGCGCTGCACGACTCAATCCATATACTACTCCCTACAAAAATCAGCCCAAAAATCACTTGCAAAAGAATCCATTGATCTCCAATTGACCAGTCGACGAAGAAACGCGCTTCCGTTTTACATTGGGCTTCTCGAGTCAATCAAGCCTCGTCCCACAAATCCGACAGTTAGCGCGATCCTCTGGTCCCCGACATAACATTATTGCGTCATGGCCGACGAAGAAGCTCTGCGGCCCGCCTCGCAACAGGCTTATCAATCGCCCGAATGGGAATCCAGTCGTAAACGGAGCTCCCTCACGGACTGGCTCCGCAGTAGCAAGCCTCTGGGCGCAGCCGGCGGCGCATCCAAGGAACCCCCATCAAGGAGTCGAGTCGCGAGCCGTCCATCGATCTCGGCACCTCCACCAACGTCGAGGCCGGCGTCGCGCCCGCGACCGGCAAATCGTCCTTTATCGACACCTACTTCCCCCGGACAAGCGGTATCTCGGCCTGAGCCGCAACTACTTCCTCCTCTTCGTCCTCACGCCCGCCCTTCTCGTCATCCTCATCGCCCTAGCCGTCGGGCTCGGCGTCGGGCTATCCGACCGCGGCCAGAACCTCCCCTTCCCCTCGAGCGACGAAGGGCCGTGGGAGGGCGACATCACCTACTACGAGCCGGGCATCGGCGCCTGCGGCAAGGTGAGCAAGAGCAACGAGATGATTGTCGCGGTGTCGCACAAGCTCTGGGACGCGCAGCAGGAAGGGACCAATCCGAATACCAACTCGCTCTGCGGCAAAAGGTGCGCGTGCGCCGGGATTTTGTCGAGGAGGGCAAAGGGCCCCAGTCGGTCGATTTGACCGTGGTCGACCGCTGCACGGGGTGCGAGCCGACGGACCTCGACATGTCCATCACGGCGTTCAAGAAGCTTGCTAGGGAGGTGGATGGCCGCGTTTTGGCAACCTGGACGTGGTTGAACTGATGAGGTGCAAGAATTTGGCAGACCCTCACGGTCCGTCTCCAAGGGCCGTAGAGGATACCGCATTCGATTAGAGTTAAACGGCGATGGCGGAGGCGCGCCGCCCCCTTGCTACATCTAAACTAGTGCTGCGACGGGTACATGTAGGAAAGGAAGGCGAGAGAAGAACAAGCTACGCCTGCAGTTGGCACACGCACAAGACAAAGACATAATACGCCCTCACAGTCTCGCCAGGTCCCAGACGGCATCGCGCCGGGGGCTAGGACCGCAATGCGCTCTCACTCCCGTCCTTGCACGATCCCGGAGTCGGTAGACATCTGCACTACTTCGGCATTGTGCAACGAAAATTTAGCGGGAAGCCGGCGAGCTGGTTAACGATGCAATACTCAACAAGATTAGTGAAATTGCTTGAAGTGAATGCCCCTTTGGGAAAGAAAGATTCAATGAGACTTCAATCCTGAAGAGTGCGCTACGAGCAGGATGGAAATTTCATCCCGAGATTTTCCACGACTCCAAGCGAGTGAAGGCTCACAGGACCAAACCACCCAAAGGGTTCATGCATGTCAAGGAGTCAGAGGTTCAAATTCTAACCTAGACACATTGGAAAGCCTAGAAGCACGACGGATGAATGATCCTAACCGTCGCGTTTATCACGGAGATCACGCGCCGAGCCATAGATTTAGTTCACGTCTGATGGGGCCGCGGCGAAGCTCTCGATTCGTTCATGTATCGCACCGTTCGGCAAAGCACGATGGAAACATAGACGAGGATGGACTAGATGAGAACTATGAATTGATAGGCAGAAGTAGTACTGTTCCAGCAGCTTTGGGGTTATATATACAATTTATTTTTTATTTCAAATTTACACACAATCGCACTTGACGGACCGAACTTGGTTCGCACACATGATAAGGGAATCTCGTCAGATACAGGCTGGGGAATATAGACAGGGCGAATGGAGGGAGGACGAGAGGAGGGGAAACAGAAACAATCAAACAAGAGGTGGTATCGCAGCCTAACAAAACAAGAGCAAGCTCGTAACAAGGAGAGCAGAGGGAAAGAAGAAGAAGAAAAAAAAGGAGGGAGGGAGTGAGAAGCTCCAAGAGTCGCCTGCGAACAGCACCCTGCCGTCCCCTTACCGGCCACACCTGGACCCCTTTTACCAATCGTGACCCTGTTTCCACGATCGTCCCAAGAATTAAAAGCGATATTGAGTAATCGAAAGTGCCTTGCAGCAGAGTAATTGAAATAAATGGGCGAGAAGCAGAAAGAGCGAGAGAGTGGCAAGGGGAAAAGGACCGCTCGTCAAAAGGCCGGGGATAGAGGAAAACGGAAAACCAGAAAGAAGAAGCAACGCAAATATTACCAGCCGAAACCCGCTCGCCGAACCGGACCAACGACCAACCCAAAGTTATCCGTCATGTATATGCTCATACGTCGTGAATGCTTTGGTAGCTACGAAAAAAGGAAGGAAGATGAAATAACAAGGAACGCGCTCGAGTAGCAAGTGGCGGTCTCGGGTCTCACAGAGGCCAGGACGCGGGCTTGGCCTCGGCGCCTCCCCTTGTTCTGTCTTGATTGTGTGGGCTCTTAGCGGGTGGACGAGGGGCTCGGCTACGACGGGCTTGGGATCCATGGGGCTCGTCGTCACCGCCGCAGCCGCCATGGCCGCGTTGACGGTGTCGCTTCCTTCCGCCGTCCACAAACCCGCAGCCTGGAGCTTCGCCAGGTGGAGGGGAGGGGCACGGCGAGTTTGTCGGCCTGCGGCCCGCTGTAGGCCGTCGGTGCGGATATGCTGGGCACGTAGCTGGTCTGCTGGTCAGCGGTGGAGGGGCGGACGAAGGCCTTGATGGAGTTGAAGGCCTTGGAGTAGGACGTGGTGGTGGCGGAGGAGCGGATGGAGACGGTGTCGGAGGTGGCGAGGCCCTTTTCCATGTTGTCGGCGTCGGGGAGGCGGGGCGGAGCTTGAGGGCTAGGCGGTTCACGCTGCTGGGGAGAGTGCCCCTGCGCCACTTGTAGAAGATGAAGAGGAGGCTGACGAGGAAGGCGACGCCGGCTGAAGCTGATGTTAGTGGGGATTGCGCTTGACGACGCGGAAGGAGGAAAAGAGGAAAAAGAAAGAAAACTGGGATTTCGGGATTTTCGTGACGGAAAAAGGGAATCAACTCACCAATGGCGCCGAACGCTACACCTCCGCTGTTGGTGCTCGCCGTCTGGGTGGGGACACCGCTCGCGCCGCTCGCAGCGGGAGGCCAGCCGCCTCGCCGGCGGCGGAAGCGTCAACCATTTCGGAAACCAGCTCGACCGACGAGTTCTCGGGCGGCACAGATATGGAAAAGTCTCCGTCGACAAACCCGCTCTCGGGCGCGGGAGAAATGGGAGCCTCGGGGAAGACAACGGGGCAGCGGGGGCGTCTGTCGGGGCTGCTGGCGTTCCGGAGGCGATGAGCGTGAGCTGGGGACCGGCGGCGGCGGGGGTGAGCTCCGGGACGGCGGCGGCGGGGTGGGTGTGGCACCGGGGGCTGGAAGAAGCCCGAGGTGAATTCGCCGGCGCGGGCGGCGGGGTCGGTGGCGACGATCTGGGGGCCGGCGTTGCCTCTGAAGTTGCCGGGGAAGTTGCCGGGGCCGAAGGGGAAACCGTTGAACCCGCCGGGGAATTGGCGGGGTCTCTTCTTTGACTCGAGGGAGGACATCGTGGTGGAGATTCTGGAGGGGTTTTTGGTTATTGTTGGTTTATGTGTGTTATTCTTTCGATCACTGTTGTTGTCGAAGAATGTTGCTCTTTTCCACTCCTCCTCCGCTGAAGAGTTGAAGTTGTTCTCTCTCTGCGTTGACTGTTTGCGCTGTGGTGTTAGTCCAGGTCCAGTTGAGCAGTTGTGTGTGCGCGCATCTCCTCTGCCCGAACCACTTCCAAGTTGAGACTTACCAAGCGAAAGGACGAGTCGGACTGTCGAAGTGAAGAGAGATGCAAAAAAGTCGCAAGGGGGAAAAGAAAAAGTTGGTTTATGGATATCTGGCCAGCAGGAATTGTTGTAGACGAAATACGAGAGAAGGACACGCTGAACGAAAAAATCCGCAAAAGAAGGAAAGAGAAGGTGAAAATAGTAAGCGACGAGAAAGTAAGAAAGGAGAAACGAAGGAAGAGAAGAAAAGAGAGAAAGAAAGAGAGCGAGAGCGAGAGTAAGAGTGGGTAAGAGGCTTGATCAAGGGAAAAAGGAAGCGAGGAAGAGTTCAAAACCCGGTCGAGTGTCGGAGATGGGACGGGGTGGGTCGAGGATATATCGAGTAATCCGATGACGGGAAGGCAGAGAAAAGGAAACATTACTCACTGCCGGAAGGGTTACAAGGTCAGGCAGAGAAAGAGGGAGGGTTGAAGGAGTGGGTTTGAGACTGGGACTGGGACGGGGGTGTGTGCATTCTACATCACGGGCGTCCGAGAAGCCGGGGCCGAGGGGAGGAGGCAAAAACAGCTGGACGCTCGGCGGGAACATGCATCCTCAACGGTGGATGGGCAACGTCAAAAGGCGCATCCCGAGGGTGTGCACCTTGTACTACCTTTTTTGGTTCTAATTTTTGTCATTCACCACCCCCTCTCCCCCTCCTGACCCGATGCCTCCGATGTTTGATTATTGTGCTCTTTAGGACTTGAAGCCTTTAACGTTGGCTTCGTATCGTCTATAGATTTTGTCGAGGAAAAGTACCTTGACCGACGACGAGATGGTTCTATAGTCAAGGGATAAATCTCTCCACTTCTCTCCCCCTCTCTCCCCCGGGCCCCCTTCATAAGATTTGTGGAGAGCAATGGTGCTACATTTAGAAAGAGTTGGACTTATTGGGGGAGAGGGTGGGTAGGAGGGTGTTTCATGTGTCAAGGCCGTGAGGAGGGTCGCCACTGTGGATGCACGCGCGCACATACATTGGAGCACGAAAAGGGACGTGTGTGCATGCTTTGGTACAGCAAAGATGCGCGGCTTGCAAGAAGAGGAAGAAGACAAAACGACAGCATTAGACAGCGAAAGAAGAGAGAGGGAGAGGGAGAGGGAGAGCAGCAAAGCAGGGCGATGCTCGCGGTGCAGCTGCACGTCGCCCTTGTCCGGACGACATGGAAAGAAATTTGGGAGAAAGCTGAAACTTGGGAGTGACATGCTCAATAGAGCCGCACCAGACGAACGAGGCTGATTTCTTCGAATTATGCCAGAGGACGAGGTGTCACGACGAGCGCAGCACGACATTGGCTGGGCCGGGGGAAGATCTTCTCTCTGGGATGAGCTTTCTGCGACGGGTCTCGAAGAGCGTATTGAGCCGGCCTTGTCTCTCTCTCTCTCTCGCTCTATGTGTGTGTGTGTCCTTGTGACGAGGGGGAAGCCGTTGGGATGAAGAAGGTCGATCAAAGCCCCCGGGGATCGCTGGTTGATCTCTTTTTCCAGGGGGCAACGAGAGAAAACATTGTGTGTACTCGTGGCATGTCGGGGATTTGCAAATTGGTCATGGTTTGAAGTTTAAGGGCACTTTGGGTATGGATTTATCCATCCGCCGAGCCCTTTGATTCACTTGAGAGAGTGCGAAGGGAAGATGATTGGGAAAGACAATACAATTGATCAAACCTCTACGGCCCCCGTCAACATTGAAGCGTCGAGCAAACATGCGGGTTGTCCAGCCAGAACTCGGCCGTGCAAGCGTCAAGAGCGTTTTGGGCATGCACAATTTAAGATTACATCGTAGGCAGGGCGTTTGCTTGTGCAAGGGTTCAAAGTGTTGCGTTGATGGGAAACTGATGGACGCACGCACACGCACACACTCAAACGCACAGGGCGCCAAAGCCAATTCGAGAAGCGACCCCAGCATTGAGCAGTTCAGAAAAAGAAGAAAAAGAACATGGAAGGGCACATCACAAAAGTTGAGATTGGATCTTCCCCAGTTCTTCCCAGTCGCGGGCGAATCGTGGTCCAGGACAATCGAACGGTTCCCTGCGCAAGTTTGGCAAGAGGAGGGGCCATGGAGGGGTCCCGACCGCGTTCGTGGGAGGCTGACATCACCGAAAATGACTGGCTGTCGTCGGATTTGACCAATTGATCCATCGTGGATCTCTCCCCTCTCCCGGTCGGGTGCAACGATGTCCGTGCTGTTGCAGCCGCTTCTGACACAGATTGCGTCTCGGGTTCTGTTCTTGGGGCCACCCGCCAAAATAATACCAAGTCACTAATCAAGAGAATTGGGTGTGCGCCCACACTCGCTACATGTAGAGAGAGGATAAGGTTGATTGCTTTCCTTGCTGTACTCCCCAACATACATTCTGCGTCAAGGCTAAATTGAAATCTGCGTCAGGTGCATGTCGCGAAAATCTCCATCTGGTACGCCGGAGTTCAGGTGAGCAAGTCTCACACGAGGTACTACCCGATGTGATGCACCGGAAGCAGGAAAGAAGAAAAGAAGACGGCGAAGAATTTGAAAGCAGAGAGAAAAACCCCCATCCCAAAACAGTGTGTTCCCCCAACCTGTATTGATGTAATGATGCCTCTATCCAGTCTATCAATAGCTGGCCCTCCTCCCTTTGCTTTTGGCCTTACCCGCATCCGGCCGAGCCGCCCCGGCACCTAAGAAGATTTGATTCTCTCTCGCTACGATGTCCCGGTCTCAAGCGGAGTGCATGGAAGCGTCTTCCCTCATCGGAAGGCCAATGTTCCTTGCAGATGGGAGATATTCTCTGCTGCCTCTTTCTACACCCTCCCCTCCCCTTCCCCTTCCCCTTCTTCCTCTCGCTATGCCGAGCCGGCATCTTTTTCTCCGCCGGCCACTCAGCGACGAGGTTTCTCGCGTTTGGCTCCCGTGTGAAGAAACCGACGAGAGACCAGGAGCTTGGGATTAAACGCAAAGAGGCGACATCGAAACAGAAAAAGAGGAAAAAAGGCTGTTACACCCCAGTATTCGCCGTTGAGCCGCTGTCAAGCCTGGCAAAAGACACTTGATAAAAGAAAATTCTCCTACCGATGATGGATTCCTTTTCGTCAATCATCCGAAGGCCCGGGATGGCATTTCTGAATCGTGCTGTACATGTCTGCTTCGTAGCAACGATCCATCCGATATCCACAGCATGAGTCGAGTGTACGCGTGTCAATGATCTCTACATACATGGTATCTACAGTAGTTGAAATATCCCTCCGGTTCCGACAATCAACGAACAATGGTCCTCTCTGGATCTGAGCCCTTGGCATATTCGCCAACGCAAGTTGTGCTGCAGCCGGACAACGCCGGCAACGTCCACTGCAGACTCGTAGTGGTGGAGAGCAATGGACGCAATGGACGATGACTCGGGCCCCGGTTGATCCTTGCGTCCCCAATGATCAACAAGGCCCTCCGCATGAGACCGTCTTCTCTCAGGCGGACAGCATCTCAGTTCGTCCCTTCTCGAGTGCACCCACCGGATCGTCGAGTCTGCCACCCTCGTCCCCGTAGCATTGATGGTTCTCGACTGCCCTCTCTCTGGGGAGGGGGCAAACTCTAACTCGCAGCACATCCGGAACTTGGACTGTCTTCTGAGCAGAGCACACCAAACATGAGGTGGAACCAAACTTTGCGCGGTTTCGTTTTTTTGTGTGTTCTTTTTGGGCTCCCCATCCTTGTCCCATGTTTTCGTCGTCTTTGGGTCGTTTTCTTGCCCTTCCCGCGTGTTCTGGCGTTCTTCCATCGCCACTTGAATTCTTCCGCATGAAGCGACCCAAATAATTCGGTGGTGAGAAGTGTGCGAGGTGCGAGAAGTGAAAGTCGTCGCAGAACACGGCCGAGAGCCGGCGCCTCTACGATTTCTTCTTTGTCTTCTTTGCTTTGCGATAGCGAATCTCTTTCTCAGTCTACTTTTTCGGTTCCAGAATTTTTATTTAATTTCCAAAAGAAAAAAATTTACTCAGACTCACGATTGTTGAAGCAGAGTAAAGACCCCAATTGGCAATCCCCGCCGTTCTAGAAAGGATTGATGCGATGCGCCCATCAGACATGGGCACCTCGTGCTTCTAGTCGAGATGAGACGGACCTGGATCGCCGCCAGGATGGCACCACGAAACAACATCACCAGAAAATGAAAATCTGCCAGAGTGGCAAGGATGCACGCAGACTCTCCACGGGCAAACCTGCGTCCGAATGTGTGTCTCGCTCATCACTTTGCGCTTCCTGCACTTCCCACCACTTCGTCTTTGATCCCACGTTACTTGGAAATAGAAACTCTGTCCGGGGTCCTGTAGCCGCGGTTTTCCCATCTTTTTCAAGTTTCTTTTTCCCCTCCTTCCGTTTCAAAAGGCGCGAGACTCTGGTTCTGTTCAAGCGGCAAAATGCCAGTTTCGTTTTGCATTTTTTTTTCTCCGATCCATCCTCCATCACCAGTCGTTGCCTCATTTTCCGTCCCATGTCGAACCAGGACCGGGTCATCCAAGTCCTTGACGTCAAGACCTGACTCCCTTCTCCTCCCTCCTTTCATTAGTCTCCTCCTCGAAGTGGTGGCCGTACAACCAGATATTCTTGTGGGTGTGTGGGCAGTTGTAAAGGAATGTGGAACAGAGTGCAAGTTTGAGATTTGCGCCCATCACTGCTGTCCCGCTCCCATCTAACCATTCCCTCTTTCTTTTTTGGTCAACTGTCTAACGAGAAGGCAGTTTCCCGGTATCGCGGGGTCCTGCCCCTCCCGGAACAGAGGCGGAGGATGGCATGACCATGGTCTCCTGCCCAAGAGGAGCAGCGACACGCGGCCTGGGTCCATCGGATGTGACTGATATGCAACCATCGACATCGAGTCAGCTGGGCAACGAGGTGATGAGGTGCAAGTGGAGCTGGGAGGCGAGCCTGGCGCAATATTTCCCGGTCGTGATACAAGGTGATTATGGGAGCCCCGCCCGCTGAGCAGGTTTTACAAACGATCAGTGTTTCTCGTCTTGCGAATGCGTTGCGTCTTTGACATCGGGTTTAGGATCGGTCATGGCGGCCGCTGCTTGGGCGGCGATGATGGCGATGATGGCGATGTCAATGTCAATCCCCGCCCCCACTATGTCTGGACGTGTGGAGAACCCTTACACCGACAAAACTGGGTTCTCTCCCAAGGATCAGCTGGATCCCTCGTCTTGACGAGCGACTCGCCATGAGGTCGGAAAGGATTTTGGCTACTCACCTTGACGGCATGTTCCTGGGTTCGATGATGGAATTGTAAAGCCATTCATGTTCCACGTGGGATGCTTGAAACGCATCCATCCACTCTCCTTCTTTTTTCACGTCCAGGTCAGGGCACGATTAATCACATGAGAAAAAGAAAGCTTATATTTAGCGTGCGTATGCTAGTACTGCCGGTATTGCCAGGCATGTACAGCGTGGATATCTGGTCCCGAAAGTGCGCCGGGGTATGAACGAACTCATTACACAACCTGTATCGACGAGAACCCCGCCCCTGGCCCGTTTTCTTTCCGAGCGAAGGAAAAAGAGAAACGGCGCCAGCCCCTCCGCGAAAGACAAAGAGTCTTCAGAGCGAGAGAATAAACAAAAAAGGAAATATCGTGGTTTTTAAGTGATCCATCGCAAAAGAAAGGAAAGCTCGCCTGCTGGCTACCCCTACCAAAAGGGGCCCCAAGCAGACTTGCCCATCATACTTCACATTCTCACCCCCTTCCCCTCATGTACTTCTCCAAGATACGTCTCCCTTCACTCAACCCGTGAAGCCGTAGCGGCTTACTGGGGGTAGCTCATACCCTGCTGGGTAGCATACTGTTCCTTGTGGCCACCCTGGGCAAGGAGGGCCTCGCGGTGCTCGGCCTCCTTGTCCTGCTGGATGAGGAGCAGCAGCCGCAGCAGCACGAGAGGAGGATATCGCTGATGCAGTTGCCCTCGAGGCCGTACTTGGCACGGACCTCGGCGCGCTGCAGGGCGAGAGGGACAATGGAGAGACCGACGCAGGCGGAACCGACAAGGAGAAGGCACTGTGGGATGGGAAAAGCGGTTAGTCTTGGCTCTGCATGAAAGATTGATTTTCTATTCAAAGATAGGAAATGCCGGGTTTGGCGCGGCATAATTGGAAAGAAGAGGAAAAGACAACTTACGGAAGTGTTGACGGGCTCGTAGCCATCGAGGTTGGCGCTCTTCTTCATGCGGTGGTGGGTCTTGCCAAAGGTGACGCAGGGCAAGCAGCAGGTCATGAGGCACGAGTCGATGGGGTTGAAGCAGTCAAAGAGACCGGCGAACCAGGACTGAGAACCCTCGGGGACTTGGAGTTGATGACCTCGGCGGGCTTGGCGAGGAAGTCGTTTACGCGGTTCTTCCAGTCCTCGACATCGGCGTTGTCGATGGGGCCGGGAGCGGCACCGGGAGCGGCGGGTGGGGCGGCAGCGCCGGCCTGGACGGAGTGATCAACGGGAGCAGCCATTATGATTGTTGGGGGTATTAAAAAAAGGTATTAACTTTTTAAGAGGGTATAAAAAAATGGGGGAAGGTGGTCAAAGGTAAAAAAATAGACCGGATATCTTGAGAATGGAATTTCCTTGGAGGGGAAGAGCAAAAGGAGCGTCGATGAATGGGAAGATGGGTTGGAGAGGAGAAGGGAGGCCATTCACCAAGGAGAGGGGAGCTGGGACTGGCCGTAATATAACATTCTCTCGCCGATCAAGATCCAAGGACCACGTCAAAAACACGACCTGATGGCTGTCTCTTGTCCACGTCCATGTCCATGTCCATGCCCACACACACACGCCTTGCACCCATCCCCCTCCCTCCCTCCCATCTCACCCTCGTTTCCACCCTCACGCCTGCCTGCCTACCTGCCTAGCAACGCGCCCGCGACGGATAACGGCAAGCCTCGGAACCAGAACATGAAAATGTCCACAAGGGGGAACACAGCCCAATCTCGCACCCTCCGCCTGGAACGCGCTAATCTCGTTGCTGGATCCTTGTCCCAGTGCCAGCGCCAGTGGCAGAGTGAGCGAGCGTTTCCTTTCCTTCTTTTCGTGGGTTTCTTCTTCTTTTTTTTTCCTAGGCGTGCGTCTGCATGATCCGCACCTTGTGGCCCGTTCTTTGCGTTGCCGGTGGGTCCGTCCCACCTCGCTGGACGGGGTACTTGTTCTGAGCGTGCGCTGGGGAGAAGTAGAAAAAAGGTTTGATGACGGAGAGAGAGACATGGGAAAAAAAAGTCACAGTCATGTCTCTCGCTTCTCCCTCCTCGTGCACGAGGGTCCCCTGCCCGGGCGGCCTCGGCTTGGCGAATGAGCATACGCCGGGCTGTCGAGCACGAGGCCGGGGCTCGCAAGCCATGCAGCCATCAATTTTGATATCGACTGGGGGCCAACAGATTCCGGACCTTGGAAGAGGTAACTTGGTGACATAACACGTAAGAATAGTACCTGGTTCACGTTCACGTTCACCATTCATCATGCTCATCCCTTCGTTGGCGTTTGGGAGGGGAACAGAAAAAAGGAGAAGCAACAGGGGGATGCCGAGAATGGCGAAGAGACATGCAGCAGACGGATGGACTGATTGATCCGAGCATAAGCAGGCTCGACATTCTCTCGTTGTCAGTCACCCAGAGACCCTTGGCCGAGGCCTAGGACGAGTAATACAATGCAAACACGCTTCTCGTTGTTTTGCTTGCCGCCCTGAGTGATGCCGAGCGATGGAACATTGAGCCCACACAAAAGAGTTGTGCGCTTGTCTTCTAATCAGTCGTCCCGGAGCCGAGGCCTTCACTGCGTGAAAGTTGGTTTCTGCAATCTGCACATCTTTCGTCCCCCCACTTGCACAGCTCCAAGATGGCGCGTATTGCGCGGGCAAGGCTAGACTTGTTTGAGGGAAGGTCTGGTCACCCGTGAACTTCTGATTGGGGCGCGATCCGTATTCATCTCCTAGTGCTGAACTTGAAGTGTACCTTCTTTTTTTTTTTGTTTCTTTTCTTTTTTTCTCCTTCCTTTCTCAAAGGTAAGCCAGTTGCTGAAAGCCCCCCTTCCTAGGTTCTGCTGGTCAGTCCTGGCTCGTTGTTGCTTGTCGTCTGTGGCCATTGGTCGGCTTTGGCAAGGCATCAGCCACAATTTCCCTTCTGGGGAAAGTCTGGTCTTGCAGCTGGGGCCGGCGCCTCTCATCGACCCTTTTCAGCCCCTGCTTGGCGTTATGTGCATGGTCGCATCTATGTACTTGGGGAGATGATTGCTGGGCTGGGAAAAGAAAAGTTGGTACAACAGCAAGGGATATTGTTACTCCTTGGCTGAGACTTGGATGTTTCTGTGGCTCCTGGATGTTTTCCTATTATCCCCTTCTTCCTTTTTGTTTAAACGGGCCAGAAAGAAGTGAACGAAGGGATATTACAGATACAAAGTACCTCGGTAGTTGGGCAATGGAAATGCATGCAGTTCAAAATCTCGAGCATTTTGGAACTCGGCAAGGTGAAGCAAAAAAATAGGGGACGGGGCAAAGACATCCTTGGATGACATTGGCCAGTAGATTCGCCAAAATCGCCAAAAGGGGAAGCAGTGCGAGGCAGGGCTGCCATGGGTGCATCATTCACGTCTCCATTCTTTGACTCTGGTCGAGATGTTTATCTCATCAGAGTCAAGACGTTGACGCCTAATCAGGCTACTGGTGGAGAGGCTTCTTGGGGGATCTTTGTTCTATCTCGTGTCGCTACAATCCCGAGGTACACAGAGGCACGCACGCACATACGCACATTCTAATTGTATCTCCCAATCGGTGTTTCTCAAGTTGATATTCGAATGCTCGTCCGCTCCGAGATAATCTACGGTTTAAATTGCGTATGCTGATGTGTCCAGGCAGTTCAAATGTTGTTTGCAATCACCATCGCCCTTCTGGCTCTGATCAATGAATGCTCTCTTTGCATTCTGCCCCATGCGGCGTGTGGAGCCGATCGAAGACAAGCTCTGTTTTATGGGAGAAACCAGGAGCTGGCTTTGCCTGGTAGGGAGATGAGCATGTCCTCGTGGTGTGCGGAGAGAGGGGAGAGGGGCAATGGGGAAATCGCAATGTTCCCCGTCGCAATCAGAAGCACCACCTCCAAAATCATGATTTGTCGTTTGCCCCTTGCACTGAAGCGAGGTACCTGCCTGGGGACCTTGTGGGTACTCTTCTTCTCTCTCCCCCATGAACCGTGAACGGACTGTTTTTGTGATGAATTCCCAGACCCGTGCGGGATACAACGAGTTGGGGCTGGCCAATCTCCTCCCTGGCGAGCAGAGGCCATCGTGTGGCTTGTCCTCTCCCGGTGTTTTGACTGTAGCACTTTGTAATCTTACTCGGGGGTCTCAGCCCTGGGAGCCCACCTGCACCTGCAGGGTTCGACCGTCACCCATCCATGGATGTTTTCCGCGCGTAGGGATCTGCGTTGATATTGGCTTGCAGAAGCTGGCTGGCTCTGCTCATCTGCCACTTTTTTCTTCTTTGTTTCGTCCGAACACTGTCGACTGTGGCCTTTCTGTCTCTTCACGCGGACGGGCGAGGCGTGACAGAAGAAGACCCAAAGAACTTCCCTTTTTCTTTCTGCGCCGCTTTCTCTTTCTTTTTTCTCGCCCCAGTCTCAATCGAGCAATCATGCACCCGCAGGCTTCGAGAACGCGCCGGAATTGGAATTGCGGCTGCGGCTGAGGTCATCTCATCTCGACCCCCCTCTCCCGGAGGGGCAATCAGCAAACACCCAGATCCAACTCGGAGCCGGTTTTTGGGAGGTGGAGGCCTACAGACAACTAGGAGCACAGCCTCAGCAGTGTGGGGACGGTCTAGTTTTCGTGCCAAACCCGCCCATGATGCCACTCTGCGCTTTCTTTAGCAGCTTGGGCACTCTCTCCCAGGGTTGACATGTCACCGTTGCACCCACCATAGGGCGGAGAGTGGAGCGCCGGCATTTCGCTGGGGAGCCGAAAAGGGCGCCCGCCAATTAGACACCATTGACGGACCAGGTTTTTTTTTCTTTTGGGGTGTCATGTTTGAGAACATCAGTTCCGGGTGCGGAAAGGAGTTGGCGAGAACGGCGGGAAGGGACACGAAGGATTGCATTCTTGACAATCCGGCGAGCTGAGATCCTTTCCGCTCGGGTTGGCGGCAGACTTTCTGTTCCCTCGTTCAATTCCACATGTCTCGACCTTGGTTGGAGATTATTACTCGATTCAATGTTACCTATGACCGAGGTCGTAGGGCGCACGCCAAGCTGGGTTCAAGATCGATCCCTGAATTGCAGGACAAGCCAACATGGTTCGAGAACGGCATCTCGTGTTATCGACCAGGCCAAGAGCTAGCCCAAGCTACTTGTCAGAGGATATTAGCTTCGCCCATCCTTTTTCTCCTAGCTTTCCTTGATGCGTTCTGGCGCCGAGTGACTCATTCCTGTGAGGGCCTAGCATGGAGCCAGGCCGTTTCGGGGGTTGACTCTGTTGATGGAAGAGAGCCCTGGTCCAGAACCAGGAACCGAACCAACCGTAGTACCCATTGTAGATGTAGGCCGTAGTGGAGACGCGCTTTCATCGCAGATTGTCGACCCGAAGAGGATGGATCTTCTTACAATTCAAATCGGCATGCATCAATTACTTTGGAGCGTACTACATAGACCCATGGACACATGAAAGATGCCATACTTGGAATAGAGGGGAAAAACCCCTCGAAGATATCAATCGGGACAAATAAGAGAACGGGTTAAAACCCTCCCGACCGTTCGTTGCACAATTGAGCCGCGGGCGGACTCGATTCGACGAGATTAAAATTTGCTTACTCCTGGCTCTGGCCATTGTATTTTTAGACTTTGCCATGCACAGCAAGCGTGTGTGCACGGCGATCGTAATCTTGATATCTGCTCCTGGCTCCAAAATCTAGTCGCCATCCTGGCCTTCCCTCCCCCTTCACTATTATTCATCACTCCTCCCTTCCAACGCCCCTCACAAGCGCCCAGCACTTGCGCATCCCCGTCCCCATGGACTCGTCCTCAATCTCCTTTTCCGACGCCCACCTCCACTGACCGCCGCCGCCGCCGCCGCCGTCGGGCCCCACCACGTCTCCGATCGCAGCGTCGGCGGCGTCCGGCAAAACCGACGCTGTGAACAATTGCACGTGCATCGTCAGCTTGAGATGGGAAAAGAGCCACGGCACGCTGCCCAGTTCCCCAGCGTGCTTGACAACGTTCCCCGGCGCTCCCAACCCGGCGCGGAGCTGGCTGGTAAATTTCACCGCCGCCGACTTTCTCGCCGCGACCGCTGCCTTGCCGGGTCCCGTCCCCGTCCCCGCTACGAGCGTGCCGCTAGGGAGTTCCCACAGCCCCGCCAGCAGGCCCTTTTCTGGACGCCGTCGGATCAAATACCGGCCGTCGGGGATCGCAGGGCGCAGACAACCGTCTCCTCCTCCCGGACGGCCTTTTTAACGACCTTCACGGGAACCTGCGCGCGTGCTCAACGCCCGCGGCCAAGGTCCCCGCCGTGGCTGCCGCAGCGTCGCTTTCCCCCGGCTGATTTTGCAGACGTCTTTCTCGCCTTGCCGGCATTAGCCCCGTTCTTCTTCGTAGCTAGCGCCTCCGCGCCACCCTCCTCGTAGTCGCCCACGTCCTCAAACGGCTCGCACAGCGCGCACAAGTCTTCCATGTCCGCGAGGGGCAGCTCCGTCTTGACCTTGCCGTCGCCGCGGGGTCGGCCGCGCGCAACCCCTTCCTGGAAGGCCGCGCACGTCGACCGAATGGGACACGTCCCGCACGCGGGTTTCGGCGTGCAAATCGTGCTTCCGAGCTCCATCAGCGCCTGGCCCCATCGTCCCGGCGCGTCGCTCGGCACGCCCTCGCCGTCTTCCGGCGCCAGCGCGTCCTCGGCAACGGCCTTGACGAGCGCAGCCGCCGCCGCCCACATGGTGTCGATGGTAGCCTTGTCGGTCTTGACGTTTCCGTAAATGCCGAGCTGTCGGCTCAATACCCGGAGGACGTTCCCATCCACCATCGGCACCGCCCGGCCGAACACGATGGACGTGATGGCGCCCGCGGTGTACCGTCCGATGCCCGGGACCTTGGCCTCCAGCTCCTGGGGTCGCGCGGCAAGAGACCCTGCATCGCGGGGTCCCCCACCACGAGACGCGCCGCTTCGTGGATCCGCCTCGCGCGGCTGTAGTAGCCCAACCCCCGCCACGCGAGCAGGACCTCGTCGGCGTCGGCGCGCGCGAGGTCCCGTATGGTCGGCCACTTCGCCATCCACCGGTTCCAGTAGTCGATGACCACGGCGACGCGGGTCTGCTGAAGCATAATTTCGCTGATCCACACCTCGTAGGCCCTCCTCTCCAGCGCTTCGCGCAGCTCGTCCGCGTCGGGCACCCGCGCGGGTCGATCCACGCTTTGCGCCACGGCATGTTGCGCGTCGTGCTCACGGAGTCGAACCACCGGAGCAGCGCATCGCGCCCGGCTTTCCCTTTCCCGCCGGCCTGTAACAAGAGGGGCCTGTGATATGTGATGGGGTGTATGCGACCGTGCGAGGGGAGGCTCGCGAGATGTGCGGGTGCGGAGCGATCAAAGAGGGTCTCCATGATTTGCGCCGTGCGGCCGGCATCCGCTGCCACTTTCCGTCTCTTAGCCGGCCGCATTGCCGCCTCTTCCTCCCCGTCCTGCTCTATTTCCTCCTCTTCATGCTCGTAGTCGTCTTCTTCTTCGCGTTTGACGCGACGGAGGGCAGCTTGCGGTGGGGTGTCGGAATTTGTCGTGCTTCTTGGGCGCCTGGTCTTTGCGCTGGCAGTGAGTGTCTTTGTGTCTGTGGCTTTTCGAGGTGCTCGCGCGACGGGCGGCGCGTCTCCGTCTGGCTCGGAGGCTTGCGCGGAGATCCTGCTGGCTGCGAGTTGGGCGGCCTGCCTTCGGCTGGGACGCATGGTTTTGCCTTTCGCTCGCCTTTCTGCCGCGTTGGTTCAGCTTGTTCGTTTCGCTTAGAGCTGGGAGTGTCTCATTTTCGGAAAAAGTGGCTTGTAGCTTTCGCGTGTTGAGACGCGAATTGTAGCTGTCAAGGGAATGCAGCTAATGAGCGTTCCGATCCTGGTGTCTTAGTCATCGGCTCATCACTGCTGGAAATGCAGCCACCCAACCACCCAGACCACCATATCTTTGGCATTGGCGATTGTGAGTTTTGAAATTGGAGCTTCACGGACAATGGAATGCTGTTCATCGAATTGATTCCAAGTAGGACTCGCATTATTCTCATTGATAAAAATAGTCGGGTGGAACATGCAATCGAAGATGGTATGTTTTTCTCAACTGAACAGATGCACAGGGATGGACACTGAACGATCGGCGCACTCAGCCCCTTTTCACGATGGGGGAGTGAGCAGCTTTTTGGTCGCAGGTCCTCTCTGATCCGATTGCTGATAATAAATTGTAACCTTCCTGATGATGAAATTTTTGGCTATTAGGGGTACATGTAGATAAGATTCCTTTCTCACGAGTTGCACTCGCATTCATGACGCGTTCCCCAACTTTGAGTTGTGTTATTGGGGCGCTGTCCTTGGCTTCTGAGACCCTCGATCAATCAATCAATCGATCCTGCGACTCCAGATGTGGAGTCATGCTACGACGCCCGATGCTACACCATTTTTAGCTCAAATATTTGGGGGCGCGGATGCGATCCTCGTGAACGAAAGAGCTGTCGTGGACTCCGGGCCGGATAGGGGGTCCATGGCCACATGCAGCCAATGCTGGGCCGAGATCGTCGACGACAAGGCAGCAATCTCACTCCGACGACTTGGCACTCCACCAGATATATATAACGAATATTGACGAGGACATCCTTTTGTCGAATCATTCAAAGGCGCTGGGCCAAGCTGTTGGGTCCCTGAGGGATCCTGTGGCTGCATCCCTCAGACGTTCTCGTTTAATCTCCATAGGGCTCGCTCCGTTGGAGAAAAGCGGGCTGTGCTACCCGATGTGAAGCATGCAGATGGGTTGCATCGATAATATCACCGCCTGCGGGCTGACAGGGGCTGTGAGGGGGGACGATGTGAGATGATATTGCAGTGCTCTGGGGCATCCCGCAAATGGCGCCTGGGCCGAGCCGGGGTCCTGGAGCGAGCGCCATCCTTCCGTACAAAACAGACCATCGTGCCATTTGCCCATAAGGCTGAGATTGTTCAATCTCTTGTTTTTCTTTTTTGCTTGGTATTTTACATATTCTCCTGCGCCTTTAATTCCGCGATTTGCCTTTTTACAACGGGTGTTTTGCCCGTTTCTTACATGATACATAGGTTCAACGTCCTCGCTGTTGACGACCCTTTGAACCACCGCCCACCCCCGCGTGAGGTAAACACCCGCAAGATGGCGGCGTCCTACTCCGCGGCTCCCGGAGGGATGCCAACACCGATCTGGGCACCATGTGGCAGGAGGCCCTCATCAAATATTACGAGGAATGCGGCACAGATCTCCGCACAATCCACCCCTCGCGATTCACCGCCACGCACATCCTCGCCGAGCAGGACCACCAGCTGCTCCTCTTCAACCAGTTCCGCCACGACAAGGGCAAGCTCGACAAGCTGAGGAGCCTCATCGCCAGCAACTCGGAGATTGTCCAGGGAGTTGCGAGCCACATTGCCGAGGCCGCCAGCGCCGCGTTCCCCCAGCGCCGCCATCCTCACGGCCTTCAACTACGTGCTCAATGCCTCCAAGGTGGTGTCCGAGGACTACGACCTCATCGTGTCCTTCTTCGACATCATGAACTCCTTCCTCGAGCGCGTGTCCATTCTCGAGAACCGCATGCCCAACGAGTGGCAGTTCAAGAAATTCCTCGTCAACGTCTTTTCGTCCATGCTGACCCTCAGCGCCATCGCGCGCAAGTGCCGCCAAAGGGCCGTCTGAGCAAGTGGGCCAAGGCCCTCATCGACGGGAGCGACCCCAAGCTCAAGGGCGCCTTCGACTCCCTGCACATGCACCTGGAGCGCTTCGAGTCCGCCACCATGCTCGCGACGCTAAAGCACACCATGGAGACCTCGAAAAAGGTCGACGGCCTCGGCCAGGACGTCAAGAGCATCCAGGCCGGCGTCGAGCAGAACTTGGCCGTCTCGCAGAAGAACTACATGCTGGGCCTGGAGACCAAGGGCCTCTCCAAGGACGCGGCCTTGACGAGCCACGAGATCTTGACCGTCGTCACCCGCCAGGAAGACCGCGGCGCCGAACACGCCGCTGGCCTGCAGCAGGTGCTGAGCACTTTGAAAAAGATCTCGGGGACGAAGAACGCCCAGGAAGCCGTCCTCGATGCCGGCTCCCGCAAATCTGCCGCCATGCGTACCCTCGCCAAGCTCCTTTCCTGCTCGCTCGACGACGATCCCGCCAAGGCCCAGCTCTTGGAGCTCGAGAACACGTACATTAAGGGCACCTACGGTTGGTTCCGGGAGCACGAGGTCTTTTCCGGCTTCGAATCCGGAACGTCGCCCGTCGTGGCCATCTCTTCGCCCTCGGGCATGGGCAAGTCTACCCTGTCCTACACCATAATCAAGGCGCTGCAGGAGGAGTTTGTCGGCGACTCAACCACGAGCGTGGCGTACCACTTTTTCCGCGAGGATGTGGACGACATGGCTACGGCTACGCGTATGTTGCGGGCTTGTGCAGTTCAAGTCGCGAGTGATGACGTCAAGTATCGAGAGGAGGTCTTGTCCGACCTTCAGCTTAGCACGTACTATACGGAATCGGAAGCTACGGAGGAGCTGGTTAAAGATCACGAGCAGCTGTGGCTCCGATTCTACAAGAAGAGGTTTACCAAGAAGTCGGGCCGTCGGCTCATCTTGGTTCTCGACGGCGTCGACGAAGCCGATCGTGCTTCACGAGAGATCATGGAGACGATTCTGGGAGATCTCTGCTCTTCCAAGGACCTGAATATCCATATTCTGTATACATGCGACCCCACCGGGTTCCAGGTGGATACCGAGGTGGTGACTGTGACCGAGTTTGCGTTGACCAAGGAACACCTGCTTCCCGATATGAAGAAAATCATCATCAACAAGATCAAGACTCTCAGTCGGTTGCGCAAATTGTCCCAGAAGACGAAGAAGAAGATTGTCGTGCGCCTGACAAAACAGGCTGATAGTGAGTCTCTTCCGGTTAATGCCCTGCTTTTTGGTGTCGTCAATGGACCCCCGAGAAATCCATTCGTGGCAATATGTGACTTTCTGACTCTGTTTTACGCCTCTTAAGCTATCCGATACATTGACCACATGCTGCGAAAGCTCAATCAGATCGGAAGAGAGAAGCCTGTCCTGCGCGAGCTCGATTCTCTGCCGTCTAGCACCACCGACTTATACAGGGTGCTCTTGGCGGACTGTCAAAAGTCTCGGTCGGACCAGGACATTGCCGTCTTGCGCAAGTTCTTCGCCTGGCTGGCGTACTCCAAGATGCCTCTGAGCCTGGGCGCTGCCGGACATCTGCTCCATTACATTGCTCAGGATAACAATATCAGCATTGACGAGGAGCTCGATCACCGATGTGCGAGGTACGTTGTTTCACATTCCCCGCAAGCTAACTCTCCCCTTCCTCATTTTAGTGACCGCATGTAGAACCTATGGGCTGACACGCTTTGCTTTAGACTTCTCCGCCTCTCCAACTCGAACCAGATGGAAGGCAGCGGAGGCGAAGACAGCGATAGCGAGAGCGACAAGCTGGACGACGAAAAGATCAGCGACAACGACGACGATTCCGTGGAAGACCTCAAGGTGATGCTGAGCTTCCAGGAGCGGTCCCTCCGAAACTACTTTAGACCGGGCACGAGTTCGAGCGACGACAAGCTGCGGAGCGCGCACTCGTCGGGCCACGCCATGATCCTGGAAATGCTCCACTCCATCCTCGCGGCGGACGTCAAGGCCACCGACCAAGCCCCGGCACAGTGGGACCTCACCTACTACGCAGCCCAGCACTGGGTATCGCACTTGCAGGAGATCGATTCCGAGCAGCTGACGCAGGAAGAGGTGGTCAGCACCATCGATGCCGTCTGCGGAATCCTTTCGAACCGCGGCGGCTCCATCCGTCTCATCGAGAGGTGCTACCTGGGATATGACCTTAAAAGCTGCATCCTGGGCGATGACGAAGAGGCGATCGAAAAGTTCCTGCAGTGCCTGCAAAAGTGGGCCGTCAAGGCCACGCAACTCCCCGCCTCCGCCATCTCCGGTGGCACGCTCGCGTGGATGAAGCCCTTTGCGCGCAATCCAAAGTCCATCTACATCAAGATCGCCGACGCCCACGTCGCCAACTGGCTCACGAGCTACGACCTTGATCAAGATTTCCTCGTCCACCGGCGATTCGTCTTGGCGCACTACGCGCTGTACCTCGGACGCGAACTCCCCGCTATCCGCCAGAATGAGCGGTTGCGCCTGTACCTCGAGACCCTGGTGGGACAGGATGAATTTATGTTTACCAAGGAATCCGTCTTGACCATATCGCAGGCGTTCCTGCACATCGACATGACTTCCCAGTCCTATCGCGCCATTGGCACGTCCATGCTTTCCTTGGGGCTGAGGGAGGAGGCCCTCGAGCAGTTTAAGCTCGGCACCGAGAACGCGGACTCGCACTTGGATTCATTCAACATTCTGGTCAAGATGGCTGATGCTACCCTCACGATCGCCAAGGAAATGTTGGACGCCGAGGAGGCGGAGCAAGCGGAGGCACTCGAGAAGAAGAGCGTGAATGGTGCCACCGTAAGCCCTGCAACTGCAAACGGAACTGCCGAGGGTGCTCAGAACGGCGGAGATGCTACCACGAACGGGCATGCCGAAGAGGCGGACGGCGCAAAGGAGGGGGCCCCCAAGAAAACGTACCGAGAATGGTCCAAGGAGTCGCTGGAGACGTGCGACCGCGCCATCGAAATGATTGACAAGATCGCACCCGCAGACCTCAAGACCTACCGGGTGCGGGACGCCATCTACGAGCTATGGCACGAGAAGAGCCAAGGCGAGCTGTACCTCGGAGACGCCACAAACGTGGTAGAGTACTCCCGTAAGGCCAGAGAGGCGGTTGGCGAGGAAGGGGGCTCGGTGCTGGTCCCCGTGATCGTCAGGAGGTTGGCTAAATTAGGCGAGTGGGAAAAGCTCGTGGAGGCGCTGCGCTCGCTCTGCTGCAACAAGTACGACACGTGGTACTACATCACCGAGGTCGCGGACGAGATCCACCAGGCGGCCAAGGAGACGGGCGAGCTCGAGTTCGTCGTCGACATGTACCGCACGTGCTCCATAATGGAGGGCGCGCAGCTCTGGGAGGGCGCGCAGCGCTGGTCTTTACGGTGATGCACGGCTGGGCGTCCTTTTACCAGGAGGTGGTCGGGACCAAGGACGCCATCGTCAAGGCCAAGGCCATCCTCAACAAGGTCGTGGACGTGAACACGTTCGCGCACAACATCACCCAGGCCTCGTTCCGGCTCGCCAACATCCTCCTCGAGGAGTTCCGCACCTCGCGCGAGCCGGCGAACAAGCTCGCGGCGTACCGCGAGATGCAGGGCCTCGTCAAGCGCGTCAGCGGCGTCATGGGCAGCGACTTCGATCCCACCCAGTCGCAGACGGTGATTCCGCTCGCGCTGATGATGCGCAAGCTGGACGCGTACGAGTACCAGCAGAGCCTCGAGCGCATGTTTTCGGGCTGCGTCGCGGCGCTGACGGACGACGTGGCCTGGAACGACAAGTACAGCTTGCGAACCCTCGCCAAGACGCTCGCGGTCGTCGGCCTAGCGGACGACGCGCGCATCGCGGCCACGTGCCAGATCTACATCACCGACAAGGAGGTGCACAAGAAGCAGCGTACCGACTCGGTAGATAGCGGGCAGGCGGGCGACGCCGCGGCGGAGACGAGCGCGGGAGAGGGAGCTGACGCTTCTGCGGAGACGAGCGCGACGGGAGACTCTACCGCGTCGAAGGAACCGGCTCAGCAAGAGAACGGTGGCGGTGCCGACGCCGAGGTGAATGGAGAGCGCAAGGAGGACGACGATGGGGCGAGTGAAGAGCCGTCCGATGACATTGACCCGATCCACGGCGCGCTCTCGTGCGACGGGTGCAACAAGGAGTTCAACGACTGGAACTCGGGCCCTCTCCACCTTTGCTACTACTGCACGGAGCTGGACCTGTGTCAGAAGTGCTTCGACCAACGGTCGGATCGGTTCTCGGGCAAGCTTCCGCCGGATTGGCGCACCATCTGCCCCGAGGGCCACCAGCACATCCAGACGCCGGTGGACGACTGGAAGGGCCTGAGGAACGGGGTGCTGAGGTTCGGTGACCAGGAGTTGGTTTTCAGCGAGTGGCTGATTGAGCTCAAGGAGAAGAAGTGGCCCGAGGCCTGGGAGCGGTTCTGGAATAGCGAGTCTGTGTGAGTAGGGGATGGTTGCTGTTTCTACGCGTATTCTCTACGGGGAGGGTGGAGATGTTGTCTAGTGTTTCTTGCCGTTTGTCGCCTGTGTAATGGACATATCCTTTTAGCCAGCGTGATGTAGTTGTTAATGATTCTAGAGGAGGATGAGCTTACACAAAGATACTCACTACTCTCAATATATTTGGAGATTTCTATACCAGCAAAATGTTAGCACGTGGTCACCCTGATGGTTTGCTTGCTTGATATTTTATGCGAGATGTTGGATTAGATTGATGGATGGATAGATGTTTAAAAGGACTAGGGCGCGGCAGCGGATGCACTGGGTGGGTAGACCTATGAGTGCCGCTCTCGAGCACGCCCGATACACCTAGGAGTCAGGCCCTTTGATGATATCTATATCGACTTTGGCTGAGAAACTTGGAGCGAGGGACCGACGGCGCTAGGCAAACACGTTACATATCGGTTTATCACATATGAGGCTTTTTATGAGCTTGGATCTCAGCAGACTATATTCATCTATCTATATCTAAAGTTCTCTCTGTCGAATATAAAATCGCCCCATGGCAGCTTTTGAAAGACACAACGTCCCGGCATCTCCATATGGAACACCCAGTGCGTCTCCTGCTCCCCGTTCGCATCCACAATGACCTTGAGTTCCGGCGGTAGCGCTCGATTCATGTAGCGCAGCATCCGCCTTAACCACGCCGCCCACTCGGTAATCAACTGCTCCCAGTTCTGGCGGACGATGCCAGGCTGCGCGTAGCGATGTGGCTGCTGTGCTATGATTTTTAGGTCGGAGAGGTTCCCTAGCGCGCTGTCCCAGATGGCGGGTTCCATGATGAAGTCGGGTCGATAGCTGGTTCCTTTGCATCGTAACTCCATCATCACCTTGCGCAGCTTGCCCTTCATCCCGGGGTTGTACGGCTGGGCGAGCCATCCTTCCCCCTCCCGTAGAGGGGAAGCATAAATGTGGTTCTGCTGTATAACAGCTCCTCGACTTCGTACGTTATTTGTCGACACAGAAGCAAGATTTGGGGTAGAGCTAGTTCGCCTGATTCGGACCGGCCTTGCTTAGTCCAGGCACGTATGAATACCGTGTGTTTCGGGAGGCAGAATCGGTAAATAACATGTCGAATTTCCAGCGGTAAGCTCAGTAGGGCGTTACTTGAAGAATGGGTATCTTTCGAAGAATATAGTGGCTGTTCCATTTCGGTTTGATGTCTGCACCTCTAGACTTGCCGTTGCTTGTAGATGGAATGGAGGACGGCCGAAAAGGGCCAACACGACATGAGGGGAAACGGATGTGGGGTTTGGGGTCCATTTTATTAGCTCGGGCAAGTGCTGGCGCATACTTATGTGGGAGTGCCGCCAATGAGAACCCCAGGACTTGAATTACCCATGGATCGAGCATTGGAGCTGGATCGATTGGACTACCCCACGTTTTCGAGAGCTGACGTTCAGGGGAAGCGTTGGTCCAAGACGCATAGATCAATGGATCCATACGGTAGCCTGGAGTGGCGCTGCTCACTTCTGCCCACTCTAAGCTACATGTAGCCTACTATGGCGGGCTTTATCTCCTCCTTTGTGCTTTTGCTTTTTGTAGATATATATATATATATATTTATAAGTCCTTTGGTTTTTAGTTCTTTGTAAAACGAGCACTGCTCGTAGGGGTTTTATGAATACAATTCGGTAGAACGCTACCTCCCGTTTATCGATAGTGGTGATCTTGTCTACTAATACCTACATGACGCCCCCAACCCGGATCCCTTGACCTGTACATAAAAATCCTCAAATCCCCTCCGCAACCTTGAGTTGCACAAACGTATTTGTGGGTTTCGCAAAAATCTCCTCATAAATGTCCCAGTCCTGCATCTCGGCCGGGATCGGGTCAAACTGGAAGTTCCACACCAGCAGCGTCGTAATGAGCCTAAGCTCGAGATACGCGAGCCTCTGGCCCCAGCAACCCCTCGTACCGCTGCTAAAAGACATAAAGGGTCCCGAGTTATCGTACACCTCGTTCCCGCCCTCCGTAGTCTTCAACCACCGTTCCGGCAGGAACTCTTCACCCGGATGCTCGCTGTGCGCCCAGTCGCCGAGGTCCTGGTGCTTCGCCGAGCTCTCGCTCCGCAGCTCCCCGGCAATATCCCATCCCTTGGTCTGTATAGTTGGCCCATCCAACGGCAACACGATCACGGTGCCCTTGGGAATGAAGTGGCCGAGGATCTGCATGTCGCACGCGGCTTCCCTGGCCGCCGCCGGAGATGGAGGGTCCGCGCGGAGGACCTCTTGGATGAAAGCGTCGACGTAAGGGACCTGCGTCTTGGTGATTTCGTCCGCCGTGGGCAGTCGGCCGTTCTCGTAGGCGTCGGGATAGGCTTTGTGCAGAGCCTCGCGCAACTTCCGCTGCACGTCTTGGTACTGGCTTAGCCGCTTCGCCGCGAAACACAAGGTGCTGTGCGTCGAATCCTGTCCTCCGATCAAGTAGCCGATGAGGCCGTCAGACATCTCGCCAGAGGCGAAAGAGGGTTTGGTCCCGGCTTTCTGGGCAGCTTGGAGTTCGCGCTGGACCATGTAATCGACCGCGGAGCGGGGCTTGAAGGTCGTCGGGTTTTCGGCGAGCCGCCGGCTGGAGTCGTTGATGGCGGCCAACACTGCAAGACACGAACGTTAGTGATCACTCAATTCCATCATATATCATGTAGATATAGAGCTTGGCGTCGTGAATCAACCCCACACTTACAGGTGGCATCTTTGACCTTGGCTGCGTGTCGTATCTCTGAGTTGAACAGCTTGTTATACCAGTGGAACAAGGTCGCGTTCGGAGAACTGATGGCTTTGCCGGCCGCATCCTCAATCACAAAGATGGCAGAAAGGAGCTCGGGAGTATCCCATGCGGGAAATTTAACCGGCGCTGGGCCAGAAGCCCTGGGAAGTCCTGTCGCCTGGAGCTTCCTAATATGCTTTACCGTTGCGCTCTCTTTAGGGTCGACACCGAGGGCCGAGGCCGCCATGATATCAAAAGTTAGATGGCTCAGGTCATCACCCGCGTCAAAGGAATAATCCCCGCGACATCGATTTTCAACTTCCAGAGTTCAATCAAGTTCAATACCATTTCGTACGATGACGGGGCGGATACCTGCGTCGTCGCCTGTCGTTAGCCTTGCTTGCTCTGCTACCTCTTCCCGTCAGGTCGGAGTATGCTTACGGTATGCAAAAAGGTCGGGGCCATCAGATCCTTTACTAATGATCTAGCTCCCTTATACCGCGGGTGGCTGTCTTCCATGGCGATGAAGTGATTGGGGATCAGGCCAGTCCAGGTATCGGTGTTGAGTTTACCACGGATGAGCTCCTTGCCGCGCCGAAGAAGCAGGTCCCGGGACTCACGGTAGTCGGCGATGGCGATGCTAGGCTGGGAAAGCGGGAGGAAAAACTGGATGATGGGCGAGTTGTGCTTTTCGTCTGTTCCGCCCACCATTGTCCCTGTCGCCCTCCCGAGCTTTTGACAGCCAGCATATCAGGGACATCGCCTAGGAGGTGCTTGGCGGCATCTTTATTGTACGGGATCCCGGGAGAGGCTTCGGTAGGAGGTGTTGATAAAGGGCATAGAGGATGGCGAGCCCGGCAGTAACAGCCGCGAGGCTGGACGCCGCGGTTGGATGCTCCGATACGAGATTCAAGAATTCTTCCGACATTGCTGCGTGGATAACCAGGACTGCTCCGTGGTGATGAAAAGAGAGGAAAAAAAAAAGGCGAACCCAGGCCAAATGACGCGTGGGAGGCGGCATCAATATATACAATGTCGCTAATAAGGAGCGGAGGGCATGTACCTATTTCCCTATTTTTGTGGGGTGCGATACTTCGGGGCGGCTCTCCACTATCTCCGTAGGGCCCGATCCCTGTCTCTTTCTGGACGGCATATGAAGCCGTTTTTGGAATACTTGGTGGTAAATCTCGATGGACGCAATCAAGGATTGACCAAAGGAACGACCATGATTGGTCCTTTGATGAAATTCCACGTCAGGAAGGATGCAGGATTAAGCTGACACCAAACAAGCGACGGCGGTCTTCAGGGACTTTGCAACGGGGAACGCGGCTGTGCAGGCGATGAGCCGGAGAATATCCGCCCATCATGGAACAGCTTGGCAGGTAGAAATTCAAGGCATGGGCATGGAGCAAAGATGTTCCTCAAGGCGAAGATTCGGTGTGGACGTGACGTGGACTTTTAGCATCTCGCCATATGTCTGGTCAGAAACATCCATGCCGGTGTCTTCAACGAGGTCTCGATGCAGATTCCGGCGCTTCCGACTTTGTAACCTGGGGCATAGAACCTCTTGGCCATCCAATGGGTACTATGTCAATGCATGAAACTTCTTTGATACCTCCCTAAAAGTACTTTTAATCAAACAGGTCGAAAGAATGAAGAAGAGTGGGAGTAATTGTTCTCTTTTAGATGTGGTATGGGTGACCGTGCCCGTAGCCATGATTGGAGGACTTAAAGTGCCAAGTATGGTGATGCAGTGCTTAGTGAGATTTTAGGCAACCGGGAAACGCTCCCAAGGCCACCGACAACCAGACATGGAGTCACTAGTAAAATGAAGCAGCGGGAAGGGGTGGTAAGCGAACTCCTTTCTTATGATACAACATGAACTTTTCTGGGTCGGATGCAGCAGACGCACCAGAGGTATGGGTAGCACGTTCCGATACCCTTATTTCCGATCCAGGCCGGGCCTAACTAATTGTATATCTCCGCTCCGGACATTCTGACCTCTCTGGGCAGATTATGTTCGGCAATTCCATATGTCTCGGGGTCCGACCCTCCAGATTCGTGGAGGCCGCCCCTGCTCTACAAATCGCCGTTAGGTTTGAACCGGTACTACTATCTGCCTGTCTCATGATTAGATCAATAGAGATGGTACCGGGGCAGCCGGTCCGCTCCGTGCCCCGCCCTCCGATGTCTAGCGCCGGCCTTGAACCCGAGGAACCTGCACATCATTGGGATCTCGCATCTACAAACCCCGACATTATCAGCTACTACATTTAAGCTCAATTTAAAGCCAACATGACAGGCAGTCTATAAATAGCACGATATAGTTAAACTAGACTGGGTAAATTCTAGGGGATCACGATAGGCAAGGGAGAATCCATCACCAACCAGGGATCTAAAGATGCTCGACTAAACAAATGGTCGAAAATGACTAGAAGTTCTAGCCTCGTATAATCTGCTGGGCTAAGCACTTTTGGATCTGTCAACTTCACTTTCCCCTCTCTAGCCTTGATTTTGGCAGGTTGGCATTTTCTTGCTCATGGAGTGTTCCCCACCACTGCGTTGGAGAGCCTTTGGCGACCCCAGCCACGAGATTAGCACAGCCTTCCCATTTGGTAAACGATTGCTCATTGCTCATTGCTCATAGCTGCCCCCTGGTGGTCAGGCCCTAGCCTAGTTATACGTTTAGTAGAAATATGCCCGCACTTGGCCCGCGTCGCCTGCTCGAAACACTATCGCGCTCTCCCAAGCTTGAAACCGCTGTATGGCACCATAGCGCGTCACCCAAATCAGTAACCTAGTTTGGGAGCAGAGGGCTCGTCTCACCCGCATCAGCAGGGGATTCCGCAAGTCCGATTGCTTCCAGAACAAACAGATAGAGGACTGCCTGGACGATGCCGAAAAGTAGGTTATCGACCGCCGCATACCCGACGTATTCATACCACTCCACCCACGTCGGCTTATCAGTCGTCATACGCCACGTCCAGGAAATTCCCGTCAGGATGAATACCACGGCCTGCGCGGCGAGGCCGTCGACACTTAGGCTCTGCGGAACCGGCTGGTCCAGCATGAGGAGCCACTGGCAGAAGAGCGAGAAGGGGAACACGCCCATAGTAACGAGCCAGTTCACCGCATATGAGTGCGTCGCAAAGAACATGTCAAGGCCCCACTGACTGTGTTCTCTGTACGACTTGGAGAAGTGGGGTAGCACGGGGAGGAAAGACCCGTAGGCAAAGGCCAAGTAGCCGAGTGTGACGAGGACCTTTTCGGACTGGCGGTTTGGTGGATACCAAGTGGCGAAGGCGACTCTACAAGAAAAGCAAGGGAGTCAGTTTAGCAAGGGGCTGCTGTATCGTCTATCTATTGAGGAACACGCGGTTTGTGCGGAACCAATCTCTTCAGAGAGGGGATAGATGAACTCACAAGATGGTGGTACTCAGCAGCAGGACACTAACTTGGATAAGATTGAGCCAGTCCCCAACGGTTCGCGGAGTTGATACCTCGCTGTCAGGAAAGTCCTCGTGGTAGATGAAGCGACTAGCATAGAGCGTAAACTGCTCCATCGCGGAGACCGCGCTCAGTAGTAGGTAGGTGAGTGAAATACCGTCAGCATCGCCGCGGGAGACGATCTTGCGTAGTTGAGGATAGAAAGAAAGTGCGGTGGCGATGACGATTGCCCTAGAATCACAAGCAGCAATTAGCAGGGGCCTCGGCGGGCTAAGCGCGAGCAACCGGGACTGAAAATGGAGGACACCGACAGCCGAAAAATGTCATCAATGGCGACGACGAGAGCGGCCATGGCGGAGAATGCCATTTGATGGCGTATGGGTTAGCGTGTGGGATGAGGGGGAAAATAAAAGCCGGACTGTAGAATGCGGTGTGAAATTTTGTCGAGGTCAAGCGTTGACGCGACTTGACACTTCGAGTGAAATGAGACAATAGATTCAAGAGAATCCCCTCATTGGGTCTGCAGTGTCAAGAAACCTGACTTTCAATTCAAAGGCAGCCTAGATTGGGCGCCACAGTGCTTGGAGCAACGATGGGAAGAAAAAGCCTGAGATGCGTCGGTTACACGAAGAGGATGCGGGGGCCACGCAGGCCGCAATACAGCCACAGCACCGCCTTTGTTCCCCTTCAAGACAACAAGAATAGCCGGAACACACGGCAACTGGCAAAGAAAGAGCCCCGAGGACCTGAGATGGGCACTGAATTTGATGGGCCCATCTCCAAGGGCTCGTGTAACCACTAATAGATCAAACATGGAGGACGCCTCGCCCCCGCAGACACGGAAGTTTCATCTCGCTGCCCTGACTACTACACTAGGAACGTCAGATACCTACCGAGCGCCTATGGATATAATAGGAAACACGAAAGTTTGGTACAGTGACATTCTTCGCGCCAGCCACATGCGCGATGGCGGCCCAGCATCGCAGGAGCTGTGTACGTTCACCATTTTTCGTCGCTACACCATTTCGCTTATCGCGCCATTCTGGCTGGCTCGAAGTTGACACCAGCGCGGAAAATGAGGAACACTTGGGACCAGACCGCGCTTAAATCTTGCCGCGGCTTTGCTTTCGAGGCGTAAACAGGTCCCGAATTCTCAGAGCCCACTTGCTTCTTTTTGCCAAAATCACCTCACATATTGCGCCCCTCACGACCCTGGCGGAGTCTAAGATGGCGCCTACACCCCAAATAAGGCTAACTTGGGGACTACTCTGGCCGCAGTGGCAATGGGGTCCGATCCTCTCATAGATGCGGCTTACAGGCGTATGGGGGATATCGGATGCACGGCAAGCCTTCAAGGGCATTCTCGATGTGGCCGGGGCGAGAGAAATATCCACGATATGGTGCCAGAAGGAACAGAAAAAAAGATATATAAATCGGCTGGCCCTGAGCTAGAAGATAGCCATTCATACGACAGGGACAGACACTAGACAGGCTCACAAAGCAATTAGAACAAAACACTCTCCTTTACCTTTTCATTTCTTTTCGTTCCATTCCTTGATACAATAGACCCCCATCATGAAAGCCTCCAGCCAAGGCCTTCTATGGCGGACCATGAGCCTCGCCCTCCTTGCCGGACACGGAGCGGCCTACCCATTTGCCCTGGAGGCACGCGCTGACCAGGACTTTTGGCCAATCAAGCCAGATACCGGCTACATCGCCTTCGGCGACTCCTACGCCGCCGGCATGGGCGCCGGCGAGACCACCTGGGCCCCGTGGCCCCTCGCATCCTGCCGCAAGGGGTCCAACAGCTACGGCCAGCAGCTCAGCAGAGAAGCGTCAGGTCGCGTCGGGATCAAGCACGAGTTCGTCCCCGACTACTGCTCCGGCGACACCACCATCGGTGCGAACCGCCAGATCGACAGCTGGGCCAAGCCCGAGACGCCGACGCTCGCCACCCTCTCCATCGGCGGCAACGATCTCAAGTTTAGCGAGCTGCTCACCAACTGCGTCATTACGCCCGAGTCCGACAAGGAGTACCCGGCCAAGTGCGCCGCGTCGAGGGCGTTCGTCGAGAGCGAGCTCGCTGCCACGGGCGAGGGGTCGTTCCGCGAGAAGCTCAAGACTGTGTACAAAAAGGTCCTGGCCAAGGCCGGGCATGCCGACCTTCAGCTCTACGTGACGGGGTACCCTCGGTTCTTCAACGACCAGACGGACTGGTGTGACAATGTCACCTTTACTGGTGGGACCCGAAACACTACGATAACCCGGCGGATTGCGCCGACTGCGTGTTCCTCACCAGGGATCTCCGACAGGCGCTCAACCAATTCAACCTCAACCTAAACGCCCTCATCCAAGACGTCATCAAGGAGGTCAACACCGAGATCAACGCGCCAAAGGACCGCGTCTACTTCATTGATACGGATGCCGTCTTCCAGGGACGCCGATGGTGCGAATTTGGCATCCCCGAGCCACAGCCCGAAAACACCCGAGAGTGGTTCTTCCTAAGCTCTTGGCCCGATGTGATCGCCCGTGATCCCCGTCAACGGCCCCCGCCTTTCAATCCTCCCAATGACGAGGGTACCTTTGCCGACTATGAAGTCGACGTTGTACAGGAGGTGAGTATCGCTGCCATGTATTCCACCGTATTCTCCATCGAGGCGAAGCATGCTAACTTGGACAACCATAGAACGTCGAGGAGTATAGTGGCCCACTCCCAGACCCCGCTACCTGTAGTACAGACGACGGAGGCGACGACCCCATCATGAGCAAGTGGTACTGCCTCCTTGCCGAACGCGGCGACCAGATCCGCGCCAGCCACGTCCACGAAGCCAAGCCGACGAAATGGGTCAAGACATTCCACCCCGAAGCATCGGCTACACCGCCATCATGCACGCCCTCATCGCCAAATTCAAAGAGGTCAACTTGGTTGACGAGCCCCCACGGTTCCCGGCCCCGTGGACAACGCGCCTCCCGAATACAACTTCTGCCAGCTCAACCTACAAGAGTACAAGACGTGCCAGCGCGACAAGATTTACAAGGCCACGGTTGAGGTCCGCCAGCCCGATGGTCTCCGTATCGACGCCGCCAGCCGCATGAACCCCGACGAGGCTGTCATTTCCGGGGACGCACCCTGACGGTTCCCGTTCGCAACGATAATACCTTGGCCATCAGTGCCAACGACGCCGACGCAGTCCACTTCAGTTATGGTGGGCTGCAGTGGGACAGCACGGTGCAAGACGCGAAAGCAAACGCCTATTGCGAGCCCAGCCAGTGGCAGGAGACCCTCTCGTCGACTGTAGCCGAGTGATCATCTCCAAAACTAAGAGGCAGTTCCTTACCGAGGACCGTATGGCTGTCGCTGTAAGTACCATCTCGCTTCCTTCTCCCCACTTATCACTAAATGTATCGAAACAAACTTGTACTAACTGACGACGTAGACTCGTGGCATGACCTGTTATTTCCAGTGCTAGACGTGAAGAGGTTTTTGGTTGCCGGAGTATATGGGATTGGGATAGAGGAACAGGATTTTGTGGAGTTGGCAGGATTTGGGACTTTGTATAGTAGTAGATTTCATTTGGGCCTTCAAATATGTACTCTTCATTCTGGTTTACTGAAGTTTATGGTGGCTGTGATTTGTGGCCCTGTTGTACGAACGAATCTTTCCTTGCTGCATCAAGTTGAATAATCAAGTACTCCAACTACATTGAAGGCAATCGAAACGATATATTAGATCGAGATCTGTTTCGCGCAGCTTGTATTACTTGGATAGTAAAAAACGCAAGGTTCTTGTGTGGCCTGCCCTCGAGGAACAAAAGAAGTCAGGCCGTCAATTGCTGAGATTTAAACCCCGTCTTGAAGGATCAAGAGTAAGCAGCATGGCTCAACCGTTTTTTGTCAACAGATTGGAGGCCGAGATTCAGCACCCCGGTCGGATTTAGTCACTTAAAGCCCGGGTCGGACCATGCGCGAAGCCACTAATCATTGGTCCAGAACAATCTAGATCCGTTTGAGTATGATTAGCGCAGAATCTTCACAAAGAACTGCCCGGGTGTCACAAGCCCGTATCGGAAACCCCGAAGAGGCGTTTCCTGCATCCTCAAGGCTTCGCAGTGATTTTCCTCAGCTTCGCAACCCTCATCTTGGAGACCTACCGAAATTTTTTTGCCCGGGATCTCGCTAACATAGCCTGTTTTCCATGTCACCCGCCCTCAGTTAAGGAGAGAAAGAAAATCACCCAAGGCCCCCGACCATGGCCGCCAAGCAGCCCTTCAAGGTCGTTATCGTCGGTGGCGGAATTGGCGGCCTTTCACTGGCGATAATGCTGGAGAGGTTTGAGATAGACTATGTTCTTCTCGAATCACACAGCGACATCGCCCCGGCACTAGGCGCCTCCATGGCCCTGTTCCCCAACGGCCTGCTGATCCTGGATCAGCTTGGCTGTTATGATGATGTAAAAGCCCAGCTGCGAGGCGATACCATCAAGACCTCTTATGTCCGAGGTGTTAATGGGATGCCTTTGATGTCAACGCCCCACCTGCTCGCCCACCTTGAGCAACGGTGAGTGGCCCCGGGGTGAATCGCCGCTCATAAGACATACCTGCTAACCACGCGCTTACAGTCATGGGTACCCGATGCTATTCTTCGAAAGACAATGGCTCTTACGTCTTCTTTACAATCGCATCTCACACAAAGACCGTGTTCTAACCGGCCAGAAAGTCAAGGAAGTCATCACGTCGCCGACCGGCGTCGAAGTGTGCACCGCAGCCGGTCTCCGTTATCAGGGCGACATCGTGATCGGGGCCGACGGTATCCACAGCGCCGTGAGACGGGAAATGTTTCGTCTAGCAGACAAGATGTCGCCAGGATATTTCTCACCTAAGCAAAATGACGGTGTACCCTGCCATTACCAGTGCAGTTTCGGCATAGCCCAGGACGTTGAGGCCTGGTCCGATGGCGAGCAATGCTTTACGCTCGGCCATGGCCATTCTTTCCTCATCGCCCCTGGCCCTAATCAACGGGTATTTTGGTTTCTCTTCTCTCGGCTGCCGAAAACGCTATATGGGAAAGATATCCCTCGGTACACCAAGGAGGACGAGGCTGCCTTTGTCGCGAAGAACCGGGATCTCCCCATTACCGAGAAGCTCACTTTTGGTCAGCTTTACGACAAACGCGTCTCTTCAACCCTCACCGCTATCCATGAGGTCGTGTATAAGAAGTGGTATTTTGATCGCATCCTAATCATCGGCGATGCTGCCCACAAGTTAAGAAACATCGTTGCTAGTCTATCATCATGACGGAAACAGACGTTGGTAAGCTAACTCGAGCCACCAAACAGCCGAACCCTATCGCCGGCATGGGTGGAAATGGTGCCATAGAGTCTGCCGCGGAGCTCGTGAACGCCCTCGTGGAACGCAAGAACAAGGGTCGCTTAGATGGCCTGACAAGCAAGGAGGTTCAAGCCATCGGCAAGCAGGTCCAGGATGTGCGGCACAAACGTGCTAGATTCATCATCGCCCTTTCCCATAAGATGCAAGCTATTTTCGCGTGCGAGAACAACCTACTTTCCCGGATTCTATGGCATGTCGTTGGCCCCATGGTGGGCGAGGAGCTCCCAGTCGACCTCATGGTCCCCGTTTGATCGGTGGTAACCGACTGAGACACCTTCCTATCCCGCGACAGCCCCGCTCCATCCCCTACGACCATGAACTTCCAGCAAAACCGTGGAGGTCCAAAATTACCCGCCTCACGGCGCCGTGTTTTACTGCGGCGATGGGCGGCGTCGTCTTCTATCTATCCAGAGGGAACCGGGTGTCTCCGATTTCCGAGTTCTACAACTGTACTGAGCCTTTCCTGAGCTGGCTACAGAATTTACTTCACCAAGTCGAGTTCTCCCAGATCACGAGGGCCATCGGCCCTGCTCAGTATACGGGGATGACCCTTCCGATGGGCTACTTCTTGTCGCAGCTGATATCACCAATCTTGATTTTCACGATTGAGGGTCACCGGACTGGCAACAGGTTATCTCCTCTCGCTCTCCCTTCATTATTTAACGGTGCATTGCAAACGTTGGGCCTTGGTCGTGTTACCGCCATACACGCCATCTTTTCCGGCCTTTCTGGATTCGGCACGCCGCCTGGCCGCCGGATACGACCGGAGGTTGCCAAGAGCTTGATACCGGCACTATCTCTTGGCTATGTGCTGCCCATGTCCCTTTTACTGATGTACCCGGGAAATCTTACTCCCTGGAAGCGTTTGGTATGGTACCTTTCGCCCGTATGTGTCTCCACCCTTAGCCGTGTACTGCCCGCCCTCCAAAGCCCATGGCGGAAGAAGAAGGCGGCAAAATCTCCCGGGACGCCCAACGGCCCCAAAGACCCGCTTTTCGGACGCTACAGCCTCACCGACGTCTCGCCTCTGAAACTTTCGTACGACTTCGCCTCTGCCCTGCAGGCTGCCGCGCACGTGGCTGCCTTGGTCCACGGATACCGTCCTGCGAGGTTGGCGCTCTACGAATTGTACGACACGGCCATACTGTTTTCAGGCACCTTTGACATGCGCGCTTTCGTCCTCTCCATGATCCCGGGATTATTACTGCACGACGCCATCTTTGGAGTAATTCCTGTCATGATGTCCAACTTGTATACCGTTTGGGACCTGCGTCGGCGTGGAAATATCACTACCTGGCAGGCGACGAGGGCCACGCTGGGGGTAGTTGTCGGCCAGTTCTTAGTTGGGCCCGGCGCAACCTGGGCACTCTTGTGGCGTTGGCGAGAGAGCAAGATCGTGTCTCTCTCGATTACTTGAAAGCAACCGAACATTGTTTCCATAGCCTGCCTTGCATCTATTTCCTAGCTGTTGTATTTTAAGCCATATACTTTCCCTCCACTCTATAGATGAATATTGTTTGAGAAAATGTGTCTTGTTTGACCTCAAGGCACCTATCCACCGCAACTCCGGCGACAGTTTTAGGAACAGCTAGGGGCTCGTTGAAAATGTAGCTCTGGGCTATTTAGCTTGGCCTATGGGGGTTGAGGCCGATGGAACTGATGGCACTCCTACGACATGAAGATGGCACTATGTCTGTGGGCGGAGTGTAGTTTTCAAGCCCCGGACTCTTTTTCTGGGAGTAGCCCTCACGGAATTAGGCAATTCCTTGTCCCTCACTCCCTGAGACTAGAATTATCATAATTAACGAAATCAATTGCTTCTAATAGAGCTGTCTATGTTATGGTATCGTAACTAATCTACACTGCTCGAATAAAATTTGGCACAACGACACAACTCGCATACTCTCTAAGTCGGTCTTGGCCCCATCTTACACCATTTGGGTATACATGATACGTATGCCAGACTCCACCTGCACACACGAGCGCAATTCACCTCATAGTATAATTTTAAGTATCGTCAAGGCAGAAACGCAGACGGAAATGAACATTGCTTGAACAGCAAAACGGGTCAGCGTCGGTTGAGAGGGGGAAAAAGGTTGAATATAAGGAGTATCCACTTACCTGAACCAAATAACCTAGAACCTCCGTTTCCAGTTGAATCATCGGAGTCCGTGGATGACCCTCCTCCGTTATTTCTCCCGCCCGCTTCGGAAGTCGGTGCTGCACCGAGGCCAGAGCCAACCGTTGCAGTGGCCGTCGCCGAAGCAGCGGGCGAAGATTGTCTCACCGGCTCTGCGCCATCGATCAGATCAGGTCCTGGAATGTCGTAGCTGCTGAATGATCTGTACAGGTCGAACTTGATCCCAGGGTCTCCGCTGCTGTATAGCTTCGTTCCACGCACTCCTGCGGGCCGCTCATCTCCGCCTCCCGTTATGCGAAGGTTGATGCACTGGGGATACGCCTGCGCGCCATTCGTTTGTCCGGCAGTATGCAGTGCGATAATTTCGTGCCTCAACACGTAATCGCCGGCGCGGATGCTCTTCGGAATCTCGACGAGCCAGCTATTGTTGTTCTCGACGAGCTGGTCCGACCCCATTTCCCGGGATTGCTCCCGGATACGTGGCCGACCTCGCTAATCTTGAAAAATTCCAGATCATTTTTGTCTACCTTTTCGCAACCGCCGGAGCCACAAAAGGCCAAGTAGTCAACCACCGGGCCGTGATGCGACTCCGGCCAGGTGTTCCAAGTAATGAGGATCTGGTCGCCCGCCGCGACGGTAGCGTGGCCCCGGCGGGCGTGGCGCTTTGTGGCAGATGATATCCGACGAGCCGAAATTGGACGGTTCGATGAAGCCGTTGTCGGTTTGCTTCGTAGCCCAACCGATTACGATGGGGGTTCTGCTTATAGGGGAACGTGGTCGGATCGTAGCCCTCGTAAGATTGGCCGTTGATGACGATATTGCTCACATGTCCGTGGCTTCGTACGCCGACAGCGCCCAACAGGGCAGCCCCAACAGCGCGGTGAACTATAGAATGCATTGGTGCGAAAGCCGTATCTTGGAATCAGAAGGCGAGCTAGAAATGACGAACGCGTTCGCTAGAGGGCGCGAGGGGTGCTTCGCTTCATATACGTGGTGGTGCTGTCCCATTCCTTGGCCTGGCAAGCAATGAAATATGTATTGTTGTGCCATCTAAGCGTTGGGCGTGATTCGTGCTATTTTCCCTCCCTCATTAATCCTAATTGCGGCGCGAGGAATGGGTGGTTGTAGGCGAGCCAGGAAGGCGGAAATCAAGGCCGGGTGCTTGATTCTACCCATGTCGTACCAGTGGTAGAGTATTCTGATTGAGTTGGGAATCCAAGTTTCCCCAAGGTGGGGGACACTTCGTCCCGTCGCATGACGGTTGACAGAAAATTATTGGATGCTGCCGCTTGATCTCCCGAAGCGTGTTCGGTTGGGAGAGCATAAGATGGGTTAGTATAGGGCTGGCATATTCATGCAGAATGCGCATAAAGATGAAGGACCGTCGCCAACCTTCATGCTTGGTGCCCAGCCACTTTGCGGGTTTACCTGGTACTCATTTCGGGCCTGGTTTGACAAACTGCTCGACGGCTAAAATAATGCCCAACCTGTTCTTAACAATGTAAGTGGTTATTGTTGATTCTCGCACGATATCTATTAGATGCTAGCAAATGTATAAGAGATGCATGATCTCTGAATTAGATGTCAATCTTATAAAAAAGCTTTTAAAAAACATTTAGTATATATATTAATAGATACTTTTATCTTAGGTTAGTATATAAACTACTTAGAGCTTAGATGAATAAAAAAGTGATATAAAAAACTATAGACATCTATAGTTTAATGAAAAAGATAGATATCAGTAACGAGCTGATAAAGATTATATATTATTACTAGATATACTGAGTAGATATCTAAAATTAAAGGGTTTAACAAGTAGAACTGTGTTCACTCGGCTGAGTTGGAATGTGGATCTGCAACGTAGTCCTGCTTGTTGAACCCTTATTCTTCCGTTTAAACTAGACTGGAGAGAAATAGACAATTTTTCAAGTTCTATGGTATGTTTAGCTAGATTTCGCAATATTTCTCTGTCTGCATTGCATGGGCCCTGTCTGTATTGCATAGGGAAATCTTTTTCTAGTATATATAAGAAGACTAACTAGTTACCTTGATCGTAATCCTCCCTCCTACTAAGAAAGCCTTGTAACAGGGAAGCCGCTTTAGTGGTAGCTTCATGGCTGTGTCCAAGGCTGTTTGAAGTCAGCTCCACGAGGTTGATCAAAGTTTCCTCGGCGCCGTCCATATCCAACGTCATAAGGAACGCGCCAGCTAAATTTTCTACGCAGTTTACATATCTGATCGGGTCTTTCTCTAGGATCCCTAAATCTGGGGACAACTTCATCCCCTTTGCAACCGTAAGAGCTTTGTGGTACTGGCCGGATCTGAGATGCGAATGTGTGAGCATTGACCGGTGGAGGTTTATATCAACCAAGGCTTCAAGAGTGTGGTTCTTCTTATCCTCAAAATTCCCAGAGCTTCGGTTCTCGGTATAGGGATCATCGCTGCCTTCGAGCATCCCCACGACAGTTTCGAGAGGAACGATAGATGATTCCCACTCTTCTAATGTTCTGGAAATATAGGCTTCGCGTTTATACGCTTCAAGTTTGATGTCTGCGTTACTCTTGAGAGGCGAGGTCTGGGCTAGGTTCCGAGCAGTTTCTGCGCACTCCATCGCCTTTTTCTATCATTTGTTTTTTGATAGCAGCGGGACATTCTCATAAAGTATTTGATAGTGTCGTTAGCCCCGCTGGTTTTGCGTCTGGTCATGGTTTCCCAGATACTCTCCCCAATTTCCTTTGCCTCATTATACTTGTCTCGCGCCATTACCGTATCCATCAAGCTAATTACCGTCTTGATGGTCTCGGGGTGGTCAGCGCCTAGCGAACGGCTTCGAAGCAATAAAACATCTCGGAAGATGGTTTCAGCACCGACAAAGTCCTCCTCAGTCACCTTTAGGTGGCCTGCAATGTATTTCGCTGCGATAGAGTCGGAGTGATCCCGGCCGAGAATCTCTTCAAGCCTGCGCACTTTCTCGGACAGCGTAGTTCCAGAACTTTCCTCTTGAACCCCTCCACGGTCAGCCAATATTGACATTAAGAATACTTCTTGGAGTAAGGTTTGAGGGTGATCAGGGCCGACGGTTGCGAGAAGAATCGAAACCAAGCCCTTCTGGTGTTCTTCGGCAGACTTTAGCTCCCCCAAAGCGTGCTCGACGAGCACTAATTGCCTTTTGAGTTTGATCAGACATGCGCTTATCGGACCAAATATTTTAACCCTAGCGTTTATTTCGCGATCAAGACTTTGTGATGCATTAGCTAGGCGTTGATCTAAGTCGTATACAAGGGTTAGGTCGGTCGGATTTAAGACCCTGCTGGCAAACTCTTTTCGCATTTCGTTTGACAATGTGTTCATTCCGGTGTATCCAGCTTCGATATGTTGAATCTCTTCCTTAAAAGCTCCGTCTTCGATTTTAGGATCGGCTTGCGGCGCTACAACGCCCCGAGACCCAAAAGATAGCAGAGAGCTATACACCTTTTATATTCATTATTGCAATCAGTGCATTGAGTTGTCTTCGCCTTCAATTCAAGGCTGTGTAAGATCGTTTGTTTCACGACATAGTCCATGTCGTCTAACTCATCTAAGAGCCGAGGTGTGATCTAAACGACTTGTTAATATGTCTCTGATGTTTCATGGATGCTCTAAGCGGTCCGTACCTTGAATAAAAGATGACCGACATGGGGAGAGTCTAGACGACTGAATGATGGGAAGGAAATGGTCTGAATATCTGGTTGAGGAGCTCTAGAAAAAGCATGAATGGTTATGAGTGCGGCTCCCAGGGAAGAGTCGATTCGATATTTACAAACCTCATCTTGATATGGTTGGTGGCAGGTGAAATTTTTAAGCAATCATCCCAGAGCATCTGCCGATGGCCATTTTCTCGTTGAATGATGTTCCTCACGATGCTATTCAGTAGCTCCTGGTGGCTTGCGTGGACTTGGGCGTGAGATATGGCTTTGCAAAGACCTGCAACCAAATCTTGGCCCTGTCGGGCGCCTTCAAGTAGGTTGACACCTGCTTCACTAAGAATTTTATAAGGGATTAGAATATGTATGCATAATAGTGCGAGCGAGTATAGGTCTGTCTGGGCCAAGTATTCAAAAGCCACTGTCCTGGTGGAATGATCGGATACGCTAAGCTCAGGCGCATTCCATGGTGGCGAGTAGTGTGCTTGGCGCTTGAAATCCCCAGCGATGCAGGATCCAAAATCAATTAATCGACAGTTTACCCAGCCTGGATTGTCCCTATTGATATTAACCAAAACATTTTGCGGTTTGATATCACCGTGAGCCACGCCTCAAGAAAAGTACAAAGCGTCAGTTATTATCACGGAAGCACCAATGATGCCACGCTAGGTTCCTAGATACGTATATCCTTACCACATTGATGTAGAAGCTGAACAGCCTGTATAACATCTGTGAAGATGCGGTGGCGATTTTCATCTGATGGTGAATCCAATAAAGTTTCCTTTAACGTGTTCAACGAGGCTTTGATAGTGACAGAATGGAGGCTTGCAGTCCGAGGGTTTCCGATAGCGACGAATGACAAGCCAAGGATGTCGACAATGAGAGGGCTGTCTCGAATAGATGGGTGGTGAAGAATTGACAATTCCTTAATGAAGTCTTCCCAGCCATTCTCGTCATTATTCGAGGGCACAGCGGTTTTGAAAGCAAGCCCGGTTGCTACATCTACCAGAGCTTGTTCTATCTCGCCGGACGCGCCCTCTCCTAAAATCTCTCGACCACTCTGAGGCGAGATGGGGAGGAGAGAGATGTTATAGTGATTTGCTACCGCTAGGAGATCAACAAGGCCGAGCTTTTCATTGTCTCTCCTAGGACGAGGTTTCCGAGACCTTCTATGGTGACGCGAGGGGATAAATGTTAAAGACATGATGAATTGTGATAGTAGCTAACTATAAACCCTAAACATTACTTGGTGGCAGGTTCATCTGACTACATTCGCATCCGACCACAATCCGAGGAGGGCTCCCTAGTTCACTATATAAAGCACCTATCTAGAGGTACCACCCCTTCCCCCTTAGCGACTTTCCCTAATTCCAGTTTCAACAGGAGCATCAATTTCAGGCAGCTATACCTCGGTAGGTTGGGCGCGACAAAAATCCCCAATCTACACAATAAGCCACAAAGCCGATCTCACCTATCGGGCTTCGTAGACCCACACCTCAAACGCTGCATGAAGATCCTTTTGTAAGAAAAGAGTTTTTTTAGTATATACTCTAGGGTATAAGAGATGTTAGGCAGCATTGCAAATTCACACCTAGATGCTGTGTGTTACATTGGGCATTGATGAATTAATAGGCATTATCTATTATAAAACCTGGTATTTCTCGCGAGGTGAGTAAATAAATAATTAACTTATAATCATCTAACTACAGACTTCTCACCCTCTTTCCACCCTGGCAAAATTTAATAAGAAACTTAAGTAGAGTATGGAGAAACAAGAAATTAAAAACCAGTACATTAATAAAGAGAAGCTTTTTGCTTTCTGGGGATCCCATATAGATTTCAAAGGGAAGGGGTGCTCGATTTTAAATGTGAGTATTTTCTATATCTATTGGTGTTACTACTAAAGAAGTACTAAGATATGATAGTCACAAGACGACTTGATGGTACTCTGGGTCCCACGTCCTATGACCGCTGTAAGTAATTATCAGGCTATCTAATATTATAATTATGATATAACTATATTATCTAATTCTATATTATTAAAATAAAATTAGGATGAAATTTCAAGTGTACGGTGGAAGCGTAACGTTTAACGCTAGGATATATTATATCTTTTATGTTTTATTAAGATTGAAATAGTTATGTTACGCCAAAACGCCCTGGCAGCCGTAGCTGGCATAGCTACAGCTGCCATGCAGCGTTCCGCTGCAGCCCACGCGTATCAGCCGAAGATTACCCGCTGGTCCACGTGATCACCATCTGGTATCCAGGAGGATAAAGAGGGGTCATCATGTAGATAGGTTAGCTAGGAAGGTAGAACTAACTTACTTACTTACAACTAATACCTAGCTTCTACTTCTAATAGTGACTATGGTATTGTGTAAGGACGTAACCGCTACCTAGCGGAACCAACGATCACCCCGAAAAGGCAGATAGCGCTGCCTTACCAGCTGACTTGCTTGTAGACAGCTCGGCTGGCTGGAAGCAAGCTGTCACGAGCGGCCGTGAAGTAGGCCCGGGAAGGCGGTGAAACACGGCAGTAAAAGGCAGAACCTCGGGTAGTAACCAGCCAGTAAGGAAAGGACCGCATGAAGAGACAGCGCGGTCCTGGAAGGACCGCACGGGAAGACAGTGCAGTCCTACAAGGACCACACTATGGGAAGTTGCAGTCCACGCAAGGACCACAACTAGGGAAGCTACAGTCCTAGATAAGTCACCAACTATATAAGGAAGCAAGTAAACCTTAGAGGAAAGGAGGTTCTATATCCTTTCCAGTAGTCAATTCAAGTACACTTAACCCCTACACTTAAATACACATTACAGATAACAATATTATTATACTATTTAATTACCTCACTAAGCTACTAACAGGCCCCAACTATTCTAACCCTAATATAACCTAACCCTAAGTAATATACCCTAGTATTAGAACATTATATGTTAACTACTCCTATTTAGTAAGTAACCCTTTTAGATAGTACTAACTATAGCAGGAGACAGATCATCCTCTACCCAAGCACCCTCAGTAAGTAAGGAATAGATAGCAGAAATAATCTAGAAGCTATAGGTAGAAAAAGAAAAACTCGCCGCCGATAACGAAGCTAGGGCTAAGGAACTTATAGCAGTATAAGCTAGAGTTCTCACCCTAGAGCACGCCAATACTATAGAAGGACTGATTAAAGCCCTAACCATAGCCTAGAAGGAAACAGCCACTAAGATCACTAAGCCTAAGGTACCCTTCCCACCACTAGAGAAGTTCTCAGGAGAACAAGGAAAGCTCTAAAGCTTCCTCACCTATATAAGGGTATACTATAACCACTACAATATCTAGGTAGACGACGCCAAGGTACTAGCTACTATAGGTAACCTAAGGGGAGACACTACTACTTAGTTTAAGCCTATACTAAGAGACTATTATGAAAATACTCTATTAAAATAGAATAAAAACACTAAGAGGATCTTTAAGGACTATGAAGAAATAGAGGAAGCTATCAAGGGAGTATTTAGAGATCCTGACGAAGACAAGTCTATATAACGACAACTCTAGGAGATTTAATAGAAGATATCAGTATCTAAGTATATTAGCAGGTTCCGATAAATCACAGCGCACCTTAACTAGGATGATAAGCCTATGATCATATAATTCTATAAAGGACTTAAGGAAGAAGTAAAAGATGAAATCACTAAGGTCATAGATATACCTAATAACCTCAGAGAGTATATAGACCTTATAGTTAAGATCGATAATTAACTATATATATAATAAATAGAGAAACAACGACGAGGCCCATAAAGCTACCTACTAGTAGGAAGAACTAACTATGCTAATAGAGGAAGATGACAGAATGGCAACACCTCCTGGGGAACATATGCTAGACCTATAGAGTTAGATATAGCCTAGAAAAATAATAAGGTACCCCTAAGTAAAAATAGAGAGTGCTTTAATTATAGAAAGCTAGGCTACTATATATAAGAATGCTAAAGTAGGGCTAGGAATAACCTTAGAAATGAAAAGAAACTATAGAAGCCTATACCTACGATAGGACAGAAGCAGTATAACAAGTAAACTAAGGAATTAGGAAGCGCTAGTAAGCTACCTAATCATAATACTATATACTAGATAGCGTGCTATGACAACAACTACTATATATACTAAAACAGAAAGGATAGAGTAGGTTACTACCCTAAGAGACCTAAGTAGCTTAGAATAATAACCTACTAGTTACCTATAGATTATTACAAACAATTTAAATAAATAAGAGGGATCTATTATAAAAAGATTTTATAGGAACACCTACTAGAAGTAGTAGAACTATACCTATAAGAAAGCAAACTAGAACAACCAGCAGAATGAAGCTAAGCATAAGTCATCAGATTCCTCAAACAAACTAAGGGATTAAAGTTAAAAGACTATAATTAGGAAAACTAGGAAGCTTAGAAGGAAACCCTAAGGAAGAATAATATATCTTCTACTAACTTATATAGAAACCTAGAATATAGGAATAAAAAGAGGCTTGATAACTATATAAATAGTACCTAAGGAAATAAGTAGGGATTAATAGAGGATTTAAAGAACACTTTAAAGACCTTATAAACTATATTATAGAATAAGAGAAAAAGAACATAGTAAGGTATAACCTTCTCATCTATAACCTAGAAGAATATATAAAATAACTAGAACACCTTAAAAGGATAGGGGATAATATCCCTCTGATATTACTTAACAACACTATCTAGAAGGTAGAAGAAACAGGGAGCTAGATCTGACAAAACAAAACAAGAATAGAAGTCAGACTAGAAAACTAAGAAGACATAGTCTCTAGGAAACTCTATAAAATAGAGTAGCAGGTCTAAGCCCTATAACAAAAACTCCAGACCTACTAGGAAACCACTTATAACAACTTCCAGAGAGTATAAAAGTATATAGGAAAAATAGATAAACGATAGGAAAAGTATAAAAAACTTATAAAAGATATATATATTCCCTAATAAAAAGAATAGGAGTATTATATAATAGCTATAGAAGAAAACATAGACTAGCTAAGCAACTAAGGTGAATAAATCACTAGAGTATACTAATAAGTAGCTATACTATAAGAAGAAATCGATAGTATAGAAGAACAAC